AATTTTTGTACCGCCGGTTCCGATGAACTGACGGTTCCGATCACGGTTTTCGGCGATATATATATATATTTTTTTAATCGATTCTAACGTTACATTTTTTTTTTCCTAAATATTAATATGAGTTTAAAAAATATTGGTAAATTTTATTTAAATAAATTTTACAATGTTCATACTCATATAAGAATAAAATTAAAAATAATTCAAATACAATTATACTTTATTTTGTTTTTTTTTCAAGTTAATAATTAAATAAATTCTAAGAAAATTTTGAAAAATGCTTCAAAAGATTGTAATTTTAACTTAGAAAAACAATAAAACGTAAAAAAAAAGTTAAAAACAATTAAGATTAATTTGAACTATAATATTTCTCCTTTTTCTACCATTTTCACTTTTCTTAGAATTTTAACTTTTTAAATTATAATAATATAAGTTTAGACTAAATATTTCTCCTTTTTTTTTTACCATTTCACTTTTTAGAATTTTAACTTTTAAAGTAAAGTGTATTTTAAAAAAAATTCAAGTAAAGTATATCATGTAGTAAAATATTATTGAGATTTTTAGAAATGTATAAAATAGGCTAAGTAATTGTCATTTTGAAAATAAAAATAAAAAATTTCAGGCTCGAACCGGATCGAAACCATCGGTTCCAATTCATATTTTAACATTCACATGAACCTTAATCGACTCTTGAACCGCCGATTTCAGTTTAAAATTTTGAACTGTCGATTTCAATTCATCTACAATACAGTTAAGTTTCAGTTCTGTTCTGGTTTAAACCGAACCAGTGGCCATGCCATAATACAATCGCCAACACGGGTGCATCACGATATATCCTAGATGAGAACTTTAACTTTTCTTGCATAGGTTCGTGTGCAAGTTATGTTATTATATTAAAAATTTGAGTTTTATGAGTAAATTAATTAAATTCAATAAATAATATATTTAATATTTAGACTTACAATGAATGATGCTTATTTTTTTTAGAAAATAACCAAAATTATTTTAATGGACTCACTGTCTTCGTCGTTTTTCTTACAAAAAGAAGAAGAAAAAGACCAAAAGGAAAGGTGGTCAATGAAGGTTGAGTGGGGGTGGTCAAATCATCTGTACGGCGATCCGGAAATCTGACACTGTGATCACCCGCTGCTTATGTCCAATCAATCCAGTTGTGAATTTGTGATCTTTCACTTTGTTTCTTTTATTTTCATTCGTTTCTTTTTTCTTTAATTTTTTTAATTAAAATCTGTATTTAATTACCTTTTTACCCATTCTAGTATTTTTGGGCCAAAATTCTAACTGACACGTACCTATGACCAGAGGGAGTTTCGGTCATAACGTAGCTAAATAGGTGAACCCAATGAAACCCACAGCCAATATGATGCACGAAATGCCTTCTTCAAGACATTGTCATGCCTCCACGTAAATCAATCATTGAAATCTACATCTCGTGATGGTTAAATTTCTGTTTGATGAACTGAAACGTAACGCAATAGAATGTAACTGAATATATACTTTTTTCATCCATATGCCCGGTTCGAGTATTACGGGCTCTATATAGGCGTGACTCTCCTAAAGGGTTAATTTTCATATATAAAACTTGAACTTGAAATTTTTGTGAAAAAAAAAAAAAAAAACTCAACTACTTCGTTCCAACCAATATTGGTTAACTAAAATAAATTTAGTGTACATGCGAGTTGTGATTTAATTGGTAACGCAGTCTGAATATGTGCGAAAAGCTCTCGAGTTCGATCTTCACTAAATATATCTGCTGGGAAGAGGCAAAAAATTTGAACTATTGCTAAGCGATCTGAATTAGACAGTTCCTAGTAAAATGTAATGCATAAAATGCCTTTTTTTTTTTCTTATTTGAAGAAAAGGAAAACAGAATATATTAATTTAGCAGCATATACAAGAAATATGTTGACTCCATCTCCTATTTATAAGCGCATTGACCTGCTTCGCTAGCTCGAAAGTTGTGTTAGGCTAAGTTAATTTCTTTATTCCTTACATTATATTACATTACATTTTATTACCATTTTATGGAGAAGAAATCTTTTTTTTTTCCTAAATTTTTGTTATTGAATTCGAGATATCTAATGTAAAATATATTTTTCACATTCCTTCTTTAAATGCATATTTAGGGTTATAAGTAAATCTAGTCGAATTGAATTTTATTAAGATCGGATTGGATCAGATAAAGTATACTAGAGTTGGAGTTTTGCTCAAACTTAATTCAAAGTTGAAATCAAGTTTGAACTTTTTTTTTTGTTCATAATTTATTGTTAAAAAGTATTCCTTTATAAATTTGAACTCGACTGGTTAAATTTATTAAATGAGTTGAAAAGAGCTTTTTAAAGTTAAATTTTAAATAGTCATTAATGGCTCAACTCATTTGCAACCTATCTATATCACATTAACCATTTATATACCAAATCAATTGACTTCGTGTCAATACCAACTTAATTAGAAAGTTTGTAAATTGTTTTGTTTGGTATGTCTAAGTTGCGGGATTCCAGATAGACAAAACACGATTAAAAATAATAAAATTATACTAAACCTTATACCCTAAATCCAAAATCTAAACGTTAAATCTTAACATAGTATATTCTAAAACGTTAAAACCTAACCCCAATGAATATTAGAAAATTAAGGTTCTTATGTATTGATTTGATTATAATTGTAGTGATACAATTAAAAATAATAAAATTAACTATACTTGAAACCTAAACTTTGAACCCATGAAACCCTAATATTTTAAACCTTAAAATCCTAATAAGCTAAAACCTAAAATTTAAATTCCAAAAACCTTATAAAACACAAATTCTAAATCTTACAGGCATTTAAATTTTTCTAGTTTATTATTATGATTATTATTATTATTTATTTGGAAAAACATTTTTCAATGAACTAAGTTGATTTAGTTTGAAACTCCATGAACTCTAGTTGAGGACCATTTAGATTACAGACGGGTCTGTTGAAGAGTAAACATGGTTTGTAGCTCGTGAATGTTCAAAGTCCGACAGGTAAAGCTATAGGTAATGGAGGAGGAAGAGGAAGAGGAAGAAACCTAGTAGGCATAGACCTTAGCCGCAATAATGGTTTGAAATATAAATATTTTTGCAATACACAACACGGGACTGCTGTATTTGAAGATATAGCAGCTTCCACATGAATATTTCAGCTTTTTATTTTTGCTTTTAGACTTCAAAACCTGACAATTCTGTATCAGACCCTTCACATGCTATATTACACTCTTCCCTTCTCTCTAATATTTAACTCAATCCTGTATTTTAATCCATTTACTTTTACAAGAGAGTAATTTTGATGTTATGATATCAATTTCAAAAATGTTTATTTCATTGGGAGGTGAGTTCATTTCATATTTTATTGATTAAGATTTAATTATTGGGGTAAAAACATAAATGACCATTGTAAATCGTAATTATTTCAATTTATATTTGAATCATTTCCTATTAAAGATTAAAATGCTTTTAATACATATTTAATTTATTTATGAGAATCGAAATCTTGATAAGGTGTGTATGTAATATAGCATGTCTTGATAAAAATATTCTGTTGGTTAAAAGATATGTGTTGTCGCTATCATGTGTACTCTAAAGGGATGAAATTCATAATATATTCATAATAAAAAAATAAAATAATTAATAATATTAAAATGGTGATTTTTTGAAAAAACAATTCAACTGCATCCAATTAACTTTAGGGTTAAAGACTGCGTGAAACGAAGGACAATGCAATTTTAATTCTTTTGGTACGAAAAGTATAAATTAATAGAAATGGACCTTTTCTATATATATGATATATGAATTTAAAAAGTGTTCAAATCTAAGTAATAAAAATGTCACCACATCAATCATGTTGAGTTGTCATCCTTTTGATTTTATCACTTGACGACCTAACAAACGTTTGCATTCATCTCTCTCTTCTTTCTTTTTTTTTTTTCAATTTATATATTTAATTAATGGAAATAACCAAAGAAAGATTTTGTACTTTAAAATCTTAATAGTTTTTTATTTAAAGAATATAGATAAATAACATTATTTTATATAGTTCATCACTCCATTTATAAGTTAAATAAAATTATATAGTATTTTAATATATTAAGAATAAATTCATATCATTAATACATATTTTAATTTTCATAGATCTGATTTAGGGTTATAGAGAGCTATAATTTCAAATCAAGTCAGATTTTGTACAAATTTAAAACTAAATTCCGAGATATGCTTGTTTATTAAAATTATATTATTGAATAAATTCAAACTGAATTTTTTCAAAATCAAATTTGGAATATTTTACCAATAGCTTATCTCAGTTATACATATAAAACATAATTATTCATGATATGCCTAATGGAAACATATATTCAAAAGGCATTTTTAACCTTAGGAGAATCGTCCCATATATATATACATATATATACTCTAACCAAGAAATTTGAAACCCTTATGCTGTGTTTGATGAGTTTTATTAAATTCAATGCAATCAAAAAACATTTTTAATCCTAGGAGAGTCATCCCAATATGAAATCTATAATATTCAAATCGGGACATGGTTGGAGCTTAGTTGGCTTTCAGATACCAGTGAATATAGACTGAAAAAATGCTATTAATTTCACATTATTCATTAAATATACTTGATTTAGTAATTAAATTAAGATACTAGAAATAAAAGCTTTATTGGGTTTTTTCTGAAATGTGAATGCAAATAGAAGAGAAAGCTAATAGTTAATGATCAAATTATCTAAGCTTATTTTGAATAATTAAGTATAATTAATTTGTTGGTTGTAACTAAAATTATATATTGTTTCAAAGTGAATTTTTAAGTTACTCAAACATAGAAATCCTAAAAAGAAAATAAAATTCTTTATGAATTAAAAAAAAAAAAAAAAAAAACAGAAATCATATTTGAAGAATTGCATTTCCTAATTATGAAATACATATAAGATGGCCTAAAGATTTTGTAAAATATAAGAAATCTAACTTGTAATATGACTATGGAATACATATATATCTTGATGAACAAAGTGAATAGCAAATTGACTTGCCAATTAAACTAATCTTTAGGGTTTTGCATCTACATTTTACACAAAGATACAGAGAGTCAAACCTAAACCTTACAAGATGAAGCTTAAGCAGACCAAAATGGGTATAGATAAATGTAGAAGATGATCAAGGACTGTACTCAGTCGTAACATCTTTAGGGAAAGGATCACGAACTTCAAAGAAAGAGCGGTTCTTGACGACAATATCGTACATATGAAACGACTTAAAGTTGGAGAAATTTATAGGGAGAGATATAAGATCGGCAGAATGGTCGGACTTGTGGAACTGGAGAAGGTTTGGTTGGCTACAGTTATAGTAACGAGTCCAGCCGAGTTCGAGTAGACGCTGTTCGAGTTCAGTGTAAGAGTGAATAACTTGGTTGGCTGGAAGGTAAACAAGAACCCTCGGTCGAGCACCAGGTGCTGTGGCTGTGCCGTGAGGTGGTGGCTCTTTCTGCTCGAAAGATTCTCTTGTTGGGTTGCTTCTCAACCGTGCTACACCTTTCTTGTCAAATATCCACACACCAGACATTGAGAGACAGAGTGTGTGCGCGAGAGAGGAACGGTGAAGGGGTGCAAGGGAGTTGTGCGCTTAATTGTTATTTATTTATATAGGAGGAAGAGCACACGGATGGGAACCAAACGAACGAAGCCGTTAGATTAACCAAATTGAATCGTACTCGGCTGAATATATAAATTCATTTCTTAATTTGCAACTTTATCATTTTGCACTCTGAAAATTTGCAGATAATCTTATCATACTCTTTAATTTATAAATTAGGATACTACACACGTTTTAATACTAATATAAATAATTTTTAAGAAATTTAGCTTTTATCTGTAAGATATCAATTTGATATGTTGATATCATAATTGAAACAATAATTTTTTTAATTTTTAACTTTTTAATAAGTGTTTAATTGAATTAATTTTATAAATTAAAATTTTAAATAAATAAATTTAAAAATTAAAATATTTAATAATAGATTTAAAATTTAAAAATATTTAAATTATATATAATTTTAAAAATAAATGTTTAAAATAAGACTAAAATATAATATATATAATTTTATAAATTAAAATGTTAAATAGACTAAAATAAAACTCGATCGGTGACGCAAGATTAAACGAAAAAAAAAGAACAGAAAGAGGAACGTCACTGAAAGTTGTCAGTATACTAGCATAGGCACAGAGTAACATCAAGGCCTTATAAAAAAAAAAAATCGTTGAATGGACTCTTCTTGCATTATCCCATGTGATCACCTTTTTTTTTTGTTTTTTATCATTAGTACATTTTAGGACTCTTTCCATTTTGCATCTGATCTATTGGTTTGACATAATTATTTTACCGGTAAATTTATGTATTCAATCAATTATATTTTCAATCGAATTTTACTTATAAAGTTAAGATTTGAAATTTAAAATTGATTTGATGGAAGAGTTTTACTTAAATATCAACTTGATTCCAACGTTAAAACACTTGTGCAAAGTCTAGGGTATGATGGTACATTTTTTTATTTGCTAAAAAAAATATTTGGTCAGTGTTTTCATGTTCGTTATGGTGACAATAGAGCATTCTTAATGCAATGAGGTATAAATTTTGAATTCTAAATATGAGCTTAATTTGTTTTAATGGTACTATGATTATGTTCAAGGTAGAAATACAAGATTGTGAATTCCAACAAAAGTCATCAACTTTGAAATTTATGGGCTCGTAATATATATAAATCAAAATTGATAATTAAAAATGAACCAATCAATTTGGATTAGTTTTCAATTAGCTACAACATACGTTCACCTCTAGTTTTGAAGGTGTAAGATTTGAAATTTGGTCATAGTTGGGGCTAATTTTAATAATTTAAAAAAAAAAAGAGAGAGAAAACTGAAATAGTAAAATCCAAAACTGAAGTTAAACCAATTAAAATTGTAGAACCAAACTACAAAATGTAAAATAAGGAAAGTTGTGAAGTTACCTGTTTTTTTTTAAAGTTCAGTAATTAAAGGAAAGACTAACCTGCTTTTTAACTGAGTCATTCCAAGCAGCAGCAGAAGATTGTTTTCTGTTTTCTTTTTTACTCTCTTTAACACTTTTTTCTTAATCAATTTCAATATAAAACATGGGCTTATATAAGTACAACAGGTATACGTTCATAAACTAAAATTGATCTTAATAATAGTTTTGTTTATATCTTTAATTTTTTAGGATAAGAACTTAAAATTTGTACCAAATCAAGCTATGCATACCCCTAATTTAGCAACAAGTTAAGAGGGGAACTTGTATTTTTAGGCATGCAAGCCAAAAGGAATATCCATCAGGAACCAAATGTTTCCTATAATATTTATAGCGAAAGTTCAATCGAAAGCCGTCTTAGCTCAGCTGGTAGAGCGCATGGCTTTTAACCATGTGGTCGTGGGTTCGATTCCCACAGACGGCGATTTTTAATAAGATTATACTTCAGGACTAATCAAAAAGAAAAAATAAATTATTTTTTCGAAAGTTAAGTTTTAGCTCTTAATTATTATTATTATTATTATTTTGAAAGTTAGCTGTGATAACAGTTTATATTGTATTCGCCATTAATTTTTAAAAATTCATTTTTAATTTGTGAAAATGGAAATCAAAATCATCTTACACATAACGTAGTAAATAAATTAATAAAATGGTGAATCCATCAAGGGATCAAATCATGCAATTTAAGCCCCCAACAGGAGATCTCAAATCGCGGAATATCTAAAAAAAATTTTTTAAAGAGAGAAGATAAAAAAAAAAAAAATACAAGGAAGATCTTGCTAAAGGAAAAAATGACAAATAAATTGGTGTTGCAAGAAACAGAAAAAAACGACATTAAGACTGGACCCATTTGAAAACCCACAACAGAGGTTCAAGAAAGTCCGAGAAAAATGCCCAAAGCCTGATTGATCAATCTTTTGAAGCACTGAAGCTTCGAGAATTTTCCATATATAGACGTATTTTGTTAACGAAAGCCCAATTAGAATTCCCCAGAAACAACCACAGTCTCTCTTCTGCTCCTATAAATATCAAACCCACATTAATCTCACCATCGATGAGAAGATTACTATCTCTGTTACCTATCAGAACTGTTCTTAGCGATAAGCAAAGTAGAAATGGCTATGATTCCAAGTTTCTTCGGTGACTCGCGAAGCAGCGCTTTCGATTTGTGGGATCCGTTCAAGGATTTTCCATTTTCTTCTTCATCTTCAATAGTTTCTCGAGAAAATTCTGCTTTTGTAAATGCTCGGATCGACTGGAAAGAGACACCAGAAGCTCATGTATTCAAGGCTGATCTTCCTGGGCTTAAAAAAGAGGAAGTGAAGGTAGAGATTGAAGATGATAGAGTGCTTCAAATCAGCGGAGAGAGAAATATGGAGAAGGAAGATAAGAATGACAAGTGGCATCGCGTGGAGCGTAGTAGTGGCAAGTTCTTGAGGAGATTCAGGCTGCCAGAGAATGCAAAGATGGATCAAGTGAAGGCTTCAATGGAAAATGGAGTTCTAACAGTGACTGTTCCTAAGGAGGAAATCAAGAAACCCAATCTCAAAACTATTGAGATTTCTGGTTGAGCTATTATTTCCCGTATGCGAACTTATAAATATATGGGTTGTGATTATTTGAAATTTATGAGGTGGTGTTTGATGTAAGGCTTCTTCTAATTTGTCTCAGTTTACCTAACTTCCAATAAAAATGATCAAAAAGGATACAACCTGTTAATCTTTAGTAGCTCAGAATTAATTGGAAATGTAAAGCTCCATAAATAAAGGTAATCAGTTGAAGACATGTACATAAGTGTTTCAAGACAAGGTTAGCAATCTGGAAAATAGCGAGTAACATCTACAAGGTAATGGCTCGGCCGAGCAACAAAAGACAGTTGGAACTGAGCCTTCATTCACCATGTCCATGGATGCTGCACCAAACTTTTCAACCAACAATATGAAGCATCATTAGCATGGGATAATAGCCTGAACTTCTGCTATAGGACTTCTATTTGATTAATCTGATAAATCAGAACAGCATTTGAAACATCATTAATAATTAGTTTTTAGAAATCACATTTTCAAGTAATAAAGCCACTACTTCACAGCATCTAGAACTAAATAAAATCATATATAGTCTAGGATGCAAGTTGCACTTGGCACTAAAAATCCACTATCGAAATTGTATTTTTAAATTGACGATGCCAAATGGTTAATGATGGCTCTGATGGGTGGTTTTGCTAGAACAGGCAATAAGAACTTAATGAATATAGTTAAAGGGACTCAAAAATGTTATCCTTAAGCTAAATGAATAAATGGCTTCTAGGGGTCATAGTTCACCAATAATCTTAAAGTATGTTATTGTATTTAGAGCTGTCCAAATACCTATGGAGCTGTAAAATGCACAGTGAATATAATAGGAAAACAGGACTTTACCAGACCAGAGGATAAATTTTTCGAAGATCTGAAGAAACTCATTCAAAACTTGATTGCTCAGTAATTCAAATTTCCAAAATTTACAATTTTCATGAAAATTCAAAATTTCATGAAATACTGAAAATTTTTAAGTCCAGCCTAAATTTGAGGAATAAAATAACTTAATTGAGATTTCAAGGACTTGTAGGACTGCAGTAGGAAAAAACAATGACAAAAAAGAAAGAGGCATTCTATCCATAGGGGACCTTCTACTTCCTTCAATTATTAAAACCATACCCAACAGCCTCTCTACAACGAGCATGTCCTAACATAGTTCTCCAAAAACATATTACCCAAGGTAGAAATTATGAAAAGAAAGACAAGCTATATTCAATCTTTCTATGTATCTTTAATGCATAGGTCAAGAAAACTCAAGCTGGATTTTTGAGTTGTGCAGACACTTGATATCCTGCTTTTCTTGCTACAGGAAATGAGGTGAAAAAGGAAATTGCAAAATCACCTGTCAGATTCATATTCCAGTTAACAGAAGCATTAGATGTATTGCACCAAAAAGTTTGGGCTGCATCAGGTAATTGGGTGATCAAAAGAAAAGTTAGATAACAACCTTCTGCTTCCCTAAGCCATACCTTCTGCCTACATTCAAGTAGACCCCAACTATTGGTTGTTGAAGGAATTTATAAATGATCTCTTCTTATCACTGACAGAATCAGTATGAAGTCTATAGAGGAAATCTGAAAGGGACCCGCCTCAAGCTTTGATTTGGTGGGTTAATGATATTGGGGATTCCATTGAAATTCGATTAAAAATTTCTGCAGAAAAACAGCCCTGAAGATTGAGCAGAGTAAATCAATAATTTTGTCAATTTTAGGTGCTAATTTCCAGGCACTAGTATTTAGTAACTTGGCCAATTCTGGATGCTAATTCTGAGCCTTAACATTACTTTTATTTTGAGTTATACTAGCATATAGAAGCAACATAGAGGAGGAGTCCTTTAAAGCTATATCATTATTTCTGGTCATTTTAGGAGCCATATCAATCTTTTATATGGAATATGAGTCCAAGTATAGGTTTAGAATCACTTTCTTTAAGTCTACCCCATGCTTGTAATGCTTTATTTTTAGAATTCAATGAACTAAATTTAAGCAACTTATTCTTTTAATTTGAGTTGTGTGATGCAATTCTAACCCTAGAAAGTGCGAGGCTTTTTTGATAGGAGTAGTGAGTCCTAAATCCTATAAGTGTGATATCAGTAGTTTACCTTCAACTACTTGAAACTTGATTTTCTTTGTCATTTTAAAAGAAAACCAGAACTGCCTTAGTTTTTTAATCTATCGTTCTTATTTTCTACAAACCCTAACCCTAATTTCTAAAAGCCGAATTTTCCCCAAGCTGTCCTACGCCGCATATATATGCAAAGCATCAAATCTAGAAGTGGTTGAACACCTTTCACCTCATTGACAAATTTGTCCAGTTAAGAAATTTATGGCATCAGTATAACAACAATGAATTCTTAATGTAACCCTGCACTTGTATGTTACTCTGCTATCTATAGAGAGTGATTCACAGAAAATGAGAAAGTACTATAACGTGCATTGAGGACGAACATGCATACAGAGAACATAAAATTAAACAATTCATATAATCCCCAACAGGCCTCAGAGGAGTATGCTAGTAATCCCTGAAACGAATCGCTAAAGAACATCCAACTTCTACAATAGTTTTGTTAGCAGTTCATCCTTTTCCAAACCCATAATTTCTCTTTCCTCTCTTTCTGGAGTCTTCTTGTTCTGAAACTTCTCAACTTCTATCGTTAAAAAGCCAACATTCTCATCTTTCAAGCTCTATGCTGTTCTGATTTCAAACAGGCCTAAAGATTATTACCCAATTGCAAGTTCAACTTCCCAAAACCTTAATCCCAATGTAGTAGTAGTTGATTCCACTTAAATCTATTTAATGAATAGTCTTTAATTGTCTATCACAGTGCTTTCATAATTAAAAAAAATTGTCTACAAATTCAAAAACATAGTGGAGAATCCAAATATTTAACAATTTAACACCACATAAAAACACTTGCAAAATTGAGAAATTGAGATGTATGGAGTTAAGTGCAATATACCTGCAAGGCACAAAAATCAGAGGTTTCTGGCTTTTGAAGGAGGCCATTTTCCCTTCTTTCTCATCCGCCGCTTTCGAACAAGTTTCTTATTTCGAAGCTTTATATTCTTGGCCAATTTCACCTTCATTTTATGCTCAAGCTTCTGTTGTAGCTTTGAATCCAAAGAAAGATCGCCAAACAAAGGCACGTCTTCTTCATCACTTTCTGAAACGGAATCTCCACCATCCGGACCGGTCCCCTTGATTTCAGCTAATGCCTTAACAGCCATTGGAGAGTTGAAGGACAGAGCAGTCAGAGATTTTGAGAGTAGATCAGTAGATTTCGAGTGCAATCCAGAAACTGAAAGCCAATTAGAAGAAAATTAATGGAAAATGCAGAATAAACCCTAAAAGAAATAACAGAGATAGATACCTGAGGAAATAGCATTGGCTTTGTTAGCTGAGAAAGGCATGGAAGCAGAATCTGGAGAAGGAAATAAAGAGGGAAAACTCATGAGAAAGACACCCATTTTTTTCGCTTTTTCCCTCTCTTGGAGTTTTGGGGCCTACCTCTTTGGTTTTGATACCGAACGGGTGGGATCTTGTGTGGTTCGGGCTATGCTGGGAGTTCAGGTGTAAATGTAATAGGACTAGTCTATTTCTGAACATCTCCAAATCCAGTCGGCCTACGAACTTTTCTGGAAAAAATTGGAAAATGATTTTTGTAGTGGTCTTATGATTCTATGCTTTTCTGGTAATTGTTCATCGATAAAAATATAATACGTGTATTTAATTTGGTAGGCAACAAATTTCATAAACATAAAAATAGAGGAATTTAATTTCAAATGAACTTATGGTAAAATCTTTGTGCTTGTTAAACAAAATGTTTTCAATCTATTCTACAGCTTAACACCTTCAAAGCTTTTCTGGGATATACTTTTGTTTATTGTCTTTGATGGATTCGTTTTTTGTCCCACGTCTAAAGTGATTGATGAAGCCATCTGAAACTATAAGATTCATAGCTTCCTTACCAGTACCCCTGACATACCAAAAATGGGCATTCATATGCATATCACTAACCATTAAAATCAATGTATTTGTCCATCGAATAGACATACAGGAACTGGCAGATCCCATCCCAATAATTCAAAAGGTCAACAAATCTCATTGAATTGAATCAAAATCAGAGAATTTACCTAGGTTAATATTACAAAACATTCAGTCAAAATTAGTACAGTGACCCTGGTGAATTTGGAGAACAATCTGCCTCTTTCTCCATAGCATGTCATATAATCAACACCATAATCCAAACCAAAAACCGTCTCTTTATGCTTATCAAAATTGGAATCAGATCGAATGGCCCAGACAACCCATCTACCTGAAAATTTCTATCATAATAAAGTACTAATACAACATTTCCTGCAGTCCACTTTCGGCCATCTTTTCCAAGTCTTCTTGTGACAACAAGGTTTTTCGACCGCTTACTCCGGTCTTATCATATGGTTGAGCCATCTTCCGAAGAAACTGCATGTAAACATGCACAAGGTTACTTGTAATAAACCACTGAAGTTTGGTCCAATACACATTTGGTTTCTGTCTTTTGTGTGATTAAATATTAAGTCCTTTTACGGACCAAGAAACAAGGAGATTTATAAATGTTTTCTTAAGATATTTTTAGCCTACAAAAGAAGAGTCATGGTTATATAAATTCATATACCGAACTTTTAATTAGAAATTTCCGGGCAGTTACTTGTAATTTTCTCAGTTAAATGGACAATACAATGATTCCATGTATCGATGATCCAGATTTCTAAGAACCTAAAATATAAACATAGAGTACAAAAGCCTTTTAAGAAACATCAGTTTACCAGTACACTGCACTTTCTTGAAGTTCTAGCATAAAAATGTTCCGACACAAAGCTTAAGAAGTGATTTTATAGTTCTGGAGTAAATTAATGATCATCAAATGGGTCTGAGAGCACATCTAGATGTTTCCCCAGAAGTAAATGTAGCACAAATAAAATATGGCTGCAAGTACAAACCTCACGTGCTATATGCAAAGCCATGTCAGTGCTCAAATTCAGGTTTGCATCACGCAAATGTGACAGTATCCAGCCAGGCAACTTTGAGCGCTTGTCATGACGGCTATATCTGCACAAATTCAAATGATTAATGCATTTTAAGCAGCAAAGAGAATTATTAAGCAGACTTTAGATAGAGTGGTAAGATCATTGCTAAGCAAATGAGTCCTTGCCCAACTTTTGAGCATAGCCTCACATTGCTAAGCAAATGTGAAATCTGGTTAAAAGTAGCCATTTCCCTCTCAGCATGTGTCTTCTCCCAACAGGGAGATTATTTTAGTGTGTATAACACAGAAGAGGTAGAGATGAGAATACCAATTTGCTGATGAAATGTAAATCCTACCTTTTATCAGCAAATATCATCATCCCATAATCAGCCTTCGACCTGATCACTCGGCCAACACATTGAGCTGCTTGTCTCTGCTTCAGTCGAATCCCATTAAGGTTATAATCTCCAATATCAGACAAGAACTCAAACTTCACATTAAAACATATGATTTTATTAAAAATGGCAGTAGAATCATACCAAAGCATCAAACGTTAGGAAATCGCCTTCCTTTATTTGAAATGTGTCCCGTAGATACTCCAACCGTGAAATTAATATTCTGCAAAAGACTCTTGTCTAAATATACTTGAAATATATAATGAATGCTAAATAAAGAAAAATTGACCAGGTTCTAAACTATTTTCGCTCTCTTTCCCAACTATCAAGCACTTGTAAGATCTAAATCTCAGGTTCTACCATAACATCATGCAGCTTAGAGTATGAGAACACTTACTTGCTTAATGTATACTGGAAAGGAATACCAAACATGATCACTAGTCTACCATAGTGTCGATCAAAATCTATTCCTTCAGCTACTTTTCCCCTGCAATTTACAGAAATATACCTCATCATCAAACCAGAACAAATAACTAAATCCGTTGCAACCTCATCTCTCCCTCTTGCATCACAAGAACCAAACCAACTACAAAAGAAATTTTTTCTGTAATCTGTAACAAAGAAAGTAAGCTCGCACATATCACACATACCTAGCAACAGAGAAAAAAACTGCACCTCTCCCACAATCACATGCCCTGCGATAGTTGTCAAGAGCCAATGTAGTTTCCACTACATCCTGGGTCTCAATAAAGACAAGCTTATGTTGCATTATGTCCTACAATAACAAAATCATGGGGTAGGTACTCTAGGGTATAAAAGACAACAATCTCATCAACAAAGCATATTATCAATTTAACCCAGAATAAAATTTACCATATCAAAAGGGAAAAGATTAAGAAAAGATAAAATATGATCTAATATGAATATCTGCTAATAAAGAGATCATTTTCACCTTAAGAATTCCAGTTTCATTCCAGCTGTTGATAATTCCATCCATGTATGAGTAACTGACAAAAAAACATACAATTCCATCCGGAACAATAGAGACCATCTCCACCAAGAGCTTCCCATAATTCCTTGCAACACCTGGATCGCTTCTCATATCAAATTTGGTGCTTATTGGGAGTTGGTCACTGTTGAACACAAAATGCAACCAAATACAAATTAAACCCTCAATTATAAAGCTTGGGCCATTTTATATATCTAGATTCACCTTGGAGATTCTATAAATAAATAAAAGATTCCACTTCAACCTTGTACCTTCCACGAGTGAGAACCATTGGGCATATACAATCTCTAGTCAAGGACATTGTAAAGCTTCGACTAACAACTGGATGGAAGTTAAGAAGACGAGGGTAGAGATCAATCGGGCTCAGAGTTCCAGAAGTAATCACAACTGACTGGAACCTGTCAAATACCGGCTTTATGGCAAGAGAAGCATCATGGCAGCTAAGCTGGAACAAACAAGATCAACAAATAACAAATATAAGCAAAAAAATATTAGTCAAAGGACATTCTCTATAAACATAGAGAAAAGAGTAAATTTTCTATCATACACATGCAAAACCCCACCACAGATATATTAGGTAAAAGTATTTCTCTATCATTTCCTTTTTTTTCTTCCCACTTTTTCATCAATAGTTTTCACAAGAACCACTGGCAGAAAAGATGACAGGAGATTATTCAACAAGATGAGAATAAATTTATAACACAGACACTAGAAAAGAGAGAGAAGTAAGAGATACCTGCAATACGGGGTCAGGAATATGTGGCATTCTCTCATCAAAAGGTTCGATTATGATGGAAAATCCGCGACTATAAGTCCCCACAAGCGTTGCAAAGTCACATATCGTCTGGATATGCAAGAACTCATCTGTGTCTGTTATCTCCAGTGTCAACATAAGTGAATGTAGGCGATCATAACAAAACTTCAGCGTTTTCTGGTCAATCACAGCATGAGAGTTTAAAGATGTAATAAAGCTAATTGGACTTTCCTTCTCAACATTCTCTGTTTCCAGCCGGCCTCTCAGGTATTGAACCAACCTACGCAAGACATGCAGAAAATGCTCTGCTCGACGAATATTTCCAGGAACTGCCTCCTTCAGAATATCATCAGGCAAGGCAGGATTTGCAAGCCATGTATCTGCGGCTGCCAGAAAGGGGGAAACAAGAGATAAGAACACAAAGGATGTTATTAGGAAAAATACATAGGTATCCAGAAGAGCCCTTGTTGTCTTAGCTTCTCATACCAGCTAGGTTTCCTCGTTGCGCCAAACCCTCAACAAGCCGGTTGTATTCAGCACGCAACCTACCAGCATCGGTGGCCTTGAACCTTCCTAACAGGTCAAATAAATTAAAAAGAATATATAAACAAAATTCAGTCTAAGAAAGAAATTTTAACTTAGAGAGAGAGGGAGAGAGACATTGGGGGGGGGGGGGGGGGGGGGGGGGTCCTCAGAATATCATTCAGCAAGGGCAGGATTTCGCAAGTGCCATGTATCTGCCGGGCTCTACGCATATAAGCGCGTAATAACACAAGAGACTTAAGAATCATCAAAGGAATGTATTATACGGACAAAAATACCACCATACGTATCCAGGAAGGACCCTTAGTTGTCTTAGCTTCTTCACCACTCAGCTAGGTTCCTCGTTGCCGCCTATATTACCCTCAACAAAGCGGTCTTCATTGTTATTCACAGCCCAATTCTTTCCTACCAGCATCGGTGGCCTGAACCTTCCCTACAGGTCAAATAAATTAAAAAAGTAATATATAAACAAAATTCAGTCTAAGAAAGAAATTTTAACTTAAGAGAAGAGGAGAGAGACATTGGCGGGGGGGGGGGGGGGGGGGCGGGGAGGGGATTCAATTCCTAGATGTTTGATCTGATGAACCATACATATGTCTCAGGAAAATTTAATTATCATACGTGTGTATCAATTTCTCAGACTTAGATCAAATTACAACCACCTGGATCAGTTTTTATGGCATATTAAAGCGAAATAGTAAAAACAAACAAATGTTTTGTCGAATCCATAAAAAATATGTTGCAGTAAATAATAGCTGTTTTGTGGACGTCCCAAGTCATTATGAACTTCAGGTGAGATGATGTTATGTGTAAAACATTTTACTTGACAACAATAAAAAAATAAAAAATTATACCTCTCAATCTCCTGACTGATTCTTGAGAGATTTCTGGAAGCCCCATCAAGTGTCTGCCTTCGTATGCTAACGCTAAGGGCTTCGATACACACATTATCAATATTATGTGCCTCATCAAACACCACAACAGACTCCTTTTGCATTTCCTTTGATATGATACCAGCTACCTTTGGATCAAGCAAGTACTGGTAACTATAGACCACCACATTTGCAAACTGCACCATATGCCTTGCCAAGAAATATGGGCACCATCCTTTTTCCTTTCCAAATGCTCTCAGATCCTGCAGCCATACAACATAGCAAAGTTGATTAAAAAAATATTGTTGATGTCTAAATAACTTGGAAATTATATTTAACTTGAAATGTCAGGAATAACTGGACAATATTTTGAGATGAATACCATATGAAAGTAATGGATCCAAAATTAGGAGAACTATAACTGGTGGTTCGATAATGATTTGCACTTGGTTGGATTGATTTTGTAAAAAAAAAGAAATTCATAGACATTCCTAAACCCTTAGACTGAAAAGTTCAGTTTGCATTACTCTGTTTTTCTCCATAGGAAGAAATGTTTGAAATAAATTCTAAAACTTGGAAATAATGAAATGCACTTCTCTTACTTACCAACTGTAGCTGCACTATGCTCACTGTAATCAGTAATTTCATAACCACGTAATTATGAGAAACAATTTTAGACCATATGGAAATCGAGTTTAATACCTGAAGAGTGTAAACTCCAGGTGGCAACACTGCTGAAGATGCCGCCCTTTCATAGTTCTCAAAGAACTCACAAGTTGGTACATTGGGATTCTCTGCAGCCATAGCCCTAATCCAACTTGCTGTGAGCTTCCTACAAGCAGCATCCACTGAATCCCGATTCTCGGCTGACAGAACTGTTGGATTCACACAAAGATTCTTTCTTGACGACAATCCAATGGCCAAAATCCTTGCGGCAGGTCCCAAATGCTTGATTTGATAATTGTGCAACAGTTTGAGCTCGGCAAGGGTTTTCTCCATCTCGTGCACAGTGCGTGTGCAGTAGATTAGCTTCAGTTGGGTCTGTGGCTTGGAAAGAGTGTAGCTTGTGATTAAGGACAGCAGTGCTATGGTCTTCCCGGTGCCTGTTGGCATTTCTAGCAGGCAGTGTCCCTTGGCATCTAAAGCACGTTTTAGCTCCACCATATATGAATACTGCTCTGGATAAATATTGTCATATGGGAAGTAGACAGTCACATCCTCAATTTGGAATTTCATAGTGTTAATTGGTGTTTATCAATATCAGAAGTATACGTATTTATATTTATTTACAGAGGTATAGAAGGCAGTGGTTGAGGCGGAGCAATAGAATGACCGGTGGAGCAGATCAGTTTCAGGCATACAGTACAACTTGACACTGGAGCATGTCTCCCTATAATGGGTGACTTACTACCTGCGGAATAGGTCCAAAATTAATTACATAAAACAAAATATTCTCACTTCCTCAAAAACTCAGAACATTAACCATAATAGTAAAATGAATATTTACCCCAAGATAAAACATACATGACTAATTTGCCCCCAAAGATAAACCAATTAGGTTTGGTTGCAATCAGGTACCCGCCAAAAATAGCCTACAGAATTCCAAACCTGATTATAGAAGGTAGTTGAACCCATTTAAAATTAAACTTGCAATCCCAACCCATCCCAAAACCAATTGGCATTACCTGAATACTACCTCAACTTGTTTATCAGAAATCCATACAACACATAAAAACCCAAAACCGAACCCGAACCCCAAAAAGAATATAAAATCTAAACTAAATCCATAAAACACACAAGCAAACCAATATGCAAATGAAAAAATTCCCACCAAAACACAAAAATAATAAAATATAAAAATAGTCTAGTCTAAAAGTTACACACGGACCTACAAGTCTAACAATAGCTTTAACAGTACATAAGTTTTACAATTGCGGAATAAATCATGCACAAATAATTGATCATATAAGTTTTAGCAAATCATATAATTAATTAATGACAATGTTGATCAACAGCAAGCATTATAATCATTAATCAAAATTGACTAGGTGTGGTTCTGTAATGTGCATGGTTTTACTTCATCATTAAAGCAGAAAAATTTCAATACAAAGTCAACATATATCTATATGCATATATATTTCCATATAAAAAGATTAAAACCTCAAAGTGGATTTTTATGTAATTAAATCTTTAAATGTTTAACTAAAGGTTCACAAAAATTAGGATTAACAAATAGCAATAGTTTCAAGCTACCAAGCTTATAGTTTTGGATTTGAAGCAAAACAGAAATCATCAATTCAAAATTAAAAGGAAAGATTTTTCAGATAAACCAAATCCAAGCATTAGCTACAACCAATTAATTTCAACCAAAACTTGATTGTAACTCAGAACTTAAATTGGAAACAAGGTAACCAACTAAAAGAAACAACAGAATTGCTACCAGGTCAAAGAAAAATCAAAATTGCACATACTGATCATGGAACCAGAAAGAGAAAGATTAAATTTTAGACCTAAAAGTACCTTCAAATTTAATCGACAGCTAAGTTTTTTAATCAAAAAGATCTTCAAAGTAACTTCACAGAGAGACATAAAGAACCAGTCAACCTAAATAGCTTCACAAATAAAGGAAGCAAAATTTTTAATCAATAAGCAAAAAGAATTAATACACATTTTTTTAATATGAATCACTCGCCAAATTAAAAGATAACACCCATCACATATTCATGAAAATTAAAATCTAAACAAAATATACTCAAAAGCTATTCCTAGAGAAATGATAAAGAAAATATAAGGGATAAAAGCGAGAGAGAGAGAGAGAGAGAGAGAGAGAGAGAGAGAGAGGGAGAGAGCTGACTGTGAAGAAAATATAAGGGATAATAAAAATTAAATTAAAAAAGGGAAAGTGAAAAAAGGAAAGAAAAAGGGCACAACGTTACTTGTTCAATTGTCACCGACTATGAGCTGCAGCAGTGTCACCAAAGATTAGCAGCCTAACAAAAAGAGACGAATATTGAATGCAATGAGAAGAAAGGAAAAGAAAATAGGGCAGCAGCAAACGATAAAACTGAAATGGCAGTTAGGTAGCAGCAGTGGCGCTAGTGATAGATGCGAGATGAGAACTTAGGGATTATTGTGTTTTAATGGCTTGAGCTTGAGTCTGGTTTTGGACAAAGGCAAGAAAAAGAAAGCGGTGATGACTGATTGAGGACGAAGAACAATGGGCTTTCAGTTGAATTGGATACCAAAACTAGGAATTGCAACGGGTCAGGTACAAGCTAAAAGTGGCAAACCCGGATGTGAACCTGTTCAAATATAAGATACCTAGACTCGTCCCAAACTTATTTAAATTTACACTTGTCAAACCCAGTTAGCATTACCCCTTTATTCCCCAAACCCGTTTAAATGCCTGTTTAACACATTGATAAAGTCCATGATCTATCTACAACACCAACTACCCAAAGTCGTTCACATACTTGAATCCGTATCAAAAAGACACTATGTAAAATTCAAACCAAATCCATACAACACACAAGTAGATAAATATCCCAATAGAAAAATAATACAATGAAAATCCATTAGAACACAACCAAAGTAAAATAAAACATAAGGAATTAAGGGATGAGAATTGATTCTTCACATAAACATAATATCAATATGCTTGCCCTCCTTTTATCTATAACCCAACTCAAACACAATTGAGCTAAAGCAGAAATCTACCAAAAACTACCCAATACAAAAGGGGAACTGATTCCAACTTTCAGCTATGTACAAGAAGATAAAAGGGCAAACTATAATAAAAATTGCTAAGTGAACCAACAAAAGTCCTTCAAGTTCTTTTCTCACCGAAAATCATCCAACTTGCCTATTCCATTCCTCATTTTTACCATAACTCAATCCAAAAGCCTCAATTATATATGTATAAATGCGGCTCAAAGCTGGAAATTTCTCTCAAGCTAAACACAACATTGATTTCAAATATAGAAACTGCTGGATTAAATTTAAGTATAACTGCAATATTTAATTAAGTTGTTGATTATTCTCATAAAAAAAGTAAAAAGAACTTAAAAGTAGAGGAAAAATAAAATCTCCAGTTTGACGAAAAGAGAGTGAGAACCACTAAAACAATCATGCAAAAACAGAGCAGCAGAACGGATAAAGAGGCAGCGGCTCCCAGTCCCATATATATGTATAACCCCAAATTTACTTGGTATATCGTAGCAACACCTACTTTACGCCCACAAAACCAAACGACATATTCATTTTACAGTAAATATATATATATTGCAAAAAGTACCTCGCGACGGACGCTTGCGGAATCCGGTCGTCAGGCAAAAGGCAAAGCGGCGATGAGATGAGAGATTGACATGACTCAAGAAGAGGGAAGATGAGCTCGACTGAAGCAAGAACAAATTGGACTTTGTTTGCGAACTCAATAACAAATGACATGGTTTTGATGCAGGTTAATCAACACTACATCGTTTTGATCATTAAAGGGTTATTTTTTCTATAATTATTCTTTTAAATCTCAATCACTAATAATAATAATAATAATCTTCTAACCCTAATTTTAATTTGGGTCCTACCTTCTTTTTATACTATCTACTTGGATTTCTTTTGCTTTAATAAACTTCAATCTATTTTTTATATAATAAATCTGTCTTTTTTGTTTGTTTGGTTTGTCTTTGTATTGGAATTTTTTTTATCCATTCTTAGTTTATTACTAAATAAAATTATAATATTTGATTTTATTTAGTTGGAGATTTTAGATCTTGATTTTCAGGTATGAATCTTGATCAATAGAGTATAGTAATGCGGTATGTTCCTCCATTGATGCTATTGATATGGAAACTCATATGTGTTCGCCATATGCTGTAAATTCATGAAAAAACAATTCAGTTATAAAAGATCCAGAAAAGTTATTATTTTGACGTCCAAATCAATTAATAGAGACTTAAGTGTTGCTAAGAAAATTTTCTTTTTTTTTGTCAAAATCAACTCCAACCGGAGAAATCTAATAATATATTTTTAAATTTTAGTCTCATTATTCAAAAGAATATGAATTATTTTGGTTTGTTAAAGATCAGTAAACATGTTAGCCACTAATAGTAGAGTTCTATATGGTCTATATGAGTATTTGTAATCTTAATATTATTATTGATAAATTATATTTTTAAAATAATAATAATAATAATAAGCCAAGTCTAGTCATATTATCACTAGCACAACGGAAGAGGTTTCAAGTTCAAGTCACCTGACTTTTGTAGCTTACCATGTTATTTCAGCCTATTTCACTCCTAATGAATAAATAATAATAATATTATTAATTCTAAATGTAATATTTGATATGATTATAATACTAATTATAATTAGAAAATCTATAATTATCATATAACTTGCTATAATTAGAACCTTTAACTACTTTAATGGTGTTTTTCAATTATTTATATTTAATTATAGTTTTATATATAGATAATTCAAATAAGTAATAGTTATAATTCTAATTAAATAATACTAGACTCAATTTGTAGTCATTCTTTAATTAAATAATACTATATTTAATTATAGTTAATTCAAATAAGTAATAGTTATAATTCTATTAGTAGTCATTCTTTAAATTTAATCCTAATGCTAGTTACTATAATCATAAAGGATTAAGGCTCAATTTGCCCCCTAAATTTGAGCACAATATATAATTTATTTAAAAATTTATTTTTTGTACAAATTACCCATTAAATATGCACAAAAAATACAATGTAACATCTTGATCCGGCACAACGATCCTAAGAGAGCGAGTGGAGCAAAGCTCCTGGCTAGCTTTTAGGATGATAGGCTAGCTATAGGTAGAGGAATGCAGGACATAGGAATGAATCGAATCATATATCGAAAAGGGTAAAACTAATAATCAGAGTCGCTTTTTGGTGGAATAACTTAGAAAGTTAGAAGAATTTCAGGGTTAAATGTGCTTGCTTAACGGAATTTATAGGATGGCTGACCTCCTGAGAAGTTCCTCATTTCACCTGCAAGACAAAATCGTGCGGGTCTTGTCAATCTAGTATGTGATGAAATTAGCTTGTCAGTAGATGTATGGTTCGAGGACGAACCATGCAGAAGCTGGTAGACCTGTGACATTTCGACCCGGTAAGCGATCTTAAGAAGGTGGGTAGAGCAAAGCTCCTAGCTAAGCTTCTAGGATGACAGGCTAGCTATAGATATGAGAAATGCAGGACACATGAATTAATTGAATCATATATTAAAAAGGGAAAACTAATTATTAGATGCATTTTTTTGTGTAATGACTTGAAATGTTAGAAGAACTATAGGATTAAACTTGCTCGCTTAACGGAATTATTAGGATGGATGACTTTTTAGAAAGTTCTTCATTTCACCTGCTGGTTGGAGTCGACGTGACATACAAACTGTCCAATTTTTGTCCCAAAAAATAAATTATTTGATATAAATCAAATGTGATTAAAAAAATAATTATATCTTGATCTAAATCAAATATAATTAAAAAATAATAAATATTTTTCTAACCAAACATTTCAATAAAATCAAATCTTTTTCTAATTCTATATTTTTTTTAAACCAAATATTTGTTAAATTATTTTAATTCAAATACTGAAATTTTTTAAAATTATTTTATATTTTTAAATAATTTTATTTTCTGATTTTAAATTTTTAAGTAAGTTTTTACTAGTTAAAACTATAAAAAAGAATTTTTTCTTAAAAAAATTGGATACTTTGTTCTTTTGATACAAGTTTAAAGGGCAATTGTATAAAAAGTTGATTTTTAGGCAAATTATATATTTTGAACTTATTCGAGAGATAGACCGAGCCTTCATCCTAATTATAAACTAGTCATTTCAAATTTTTTTTCTGTTTAATTATAATATTAGATATAATCGTAATAATAATTATAATTAGAAATTCAATAGTTATAGAACTATTAGAAATGCTAAAGGAAAATAAAATCGTCCTAAACTAAAGTGAAATTAACATACATCCTCCTATATCCAAAAACTAACTCACACATCTCCAAATTTACAGTTTGTCATATAATTACCTCCCTCCATCCAAAATCATCCTTATTTCAATTAGATAGCTTAGGAAAAAACCAAATCGACCCTCTTTAAAATGTAATGAAAACACCTCTCATTGGTGGGAAAATGAAAAGACAAAGGGCAATGGTAGAGCAAATCAAAGAGGGAGTCGCATTTCCTTAAGCGAAATCCATCTTACTCTTAGGACATATTCAATAAAATTAATTATTTTAATAATTATTATCTATTTTAGTAACGTTTAACTGTTTCAATAGCTTTTTATAAAATGCTAAGAGCTAAATATTATAAGAGCTTAATCTTTTATAAAAAGTTAATTCAAATATTGCATCACGGAATACTATAAAAAAATAGTGTTTAACAGTTTAACCAAACAAAACGTTAAAAACTACTTAAAAAGTTATTACCAAATACAATTTAGATAATGGTTTTGAATGCAAAGTGAAAATTGCCATTTTGCATAGGCTGCAAGAATGAAAGGTAGAGATAAGCTGCAAGAATGAAAGGTAGAGATCAAGTTGGGTTCTTTCTCTCTCTAAAAGTATATCTGAAATGACCCAAAAATTTGTTTTCAAAGGGATTTTCATTTAAAAAAATTAATTGATAATTTTTGACCAGTATGGAATATTATGTTGTTTAAAATAAATAAATGAATGAATATATCTATATATAAATTCATTTCTTTGATTAAAAAAAATTTTAAGAAAGAAAAATGGGATCCTTATCTCTCTCTCACTCTCTCTCTCCCTGTCGACGATAACTTGTCCCCTTCCCCTCTGTCTCTATTCGTTCTCCAGCCACCGGCTATGAGAACCGGCGAACTAACACTCTAACTGCATCTACTCCTTACAAGAATTTGATTTCGGTCTTGGTTCAGGCAATTTGGTGTCCGATCATGAGAGATTGCGACTGAAAGTTGCGATATCGTGCGATGAAGTTCTTCGGCAATATCTCGTCGTTCCATTGACTTCAAGCTCCAGGGATGGTCCCAATTGACTCCTAGACATCTCTTGAACATTTTCGCTCCATCGATTTCGATGATGGGGCTTGGATGGTGGAAACGCCAATGAAGACGGTGGAGCAGCGGCTGTCGAGCCCGTTCCGGCCAATTAAAGAATCGATCTCAACCAACCGACATAAAAAATGGATTACCTGTTAAATTTCGAGTCCAAGGATGTAAGGATCGCAAAGTTCCACTTATAATTGATTCTCCGGCCACCGTGGATGGTGACGCCGACGGAGGCCCTGTGACCGGACGGCGAATCTCCAGCAAGACCCCCAGCAGACAAAATAATTGTCTCTTTGCACTGAATCCACATTCGAACTCTGAATCGCGGTCGGTATACTTTAAGATTTAGTCCGTTAACTTCAGTATAAAGTTCAAATTTGAAATTAAGACGGTTTAAGTTTATTAATAAGTTAATCAAAAATAGAATAAATATTGATATTGATAATTTGTGAAATACTGCAAGTGGCGGATGGAAAAAAAAATTGTGAAGCGCCTGATGAATGGGCCGCGTGTTATTGCAAAATATGTGAAATTTTGATAGATTAAATTATAAATTGCAAAATATGTGAAATTTGGATAAATTAAATTATAAATAAAATGCTCTCGAATTTTGACAGAAAAAAAGATCTAGTCAAGAATTAAATTTATTTCATAAAATAACAAATTATGTTATTAATTAAGGAATTTAGTGATGAAAGAATAAATCAGTTGAGTAAATGCAAAATTTGATTCGATTTTATTGAATTTAATAAATTATTTGAAAATAGAATTTTAAGTGAAACAAAGTAATGAAATTAAGGATCTTTATTACAAAACTTTATTACATTTATTTGGTAAAATAAATAAATATATGTATATATATATATTTATACATTTGATTTAAGAAAATAAGTTAAATACTCATTTTAATAGAATTTAAAGGAAATTATCAAATTTATTTAAGAAATAAAATATAGTTTCCTAAAGAAAATTAAGCCAAAAAATTTTAATAAATGGATTTAATTTAACCTAATGGTTTCTTCTAGTTATTGAAGTAAATAAATAGATTTCAGTACTTATTTAAAGAAATATGGATTTCAAACTAGTAAATAAATTATGAAGAATTTGGATTCAAATTAATTAATTTGCTTAAGAATATAAATATATGGCATTCGATGAAATATAATATAGATGCAAACTAAGAATAAAAATATAGAGAAATGCAATGTGTGTATTATTCTAAAAAAAAAAAAAAAGAAATGCAATGTGTGAATTTGATTATAGGTTTGGAATTTCCAAAAAAATATTTTAAAAGTCTAATTGATCAGGGAAAAATAAATTCTTATTTTCAAGGTGAGTAATAATTTCATGATTACATAATTTATTCTAAATCTTGCATTTGTTTATTTTTAAATACTTGTGTATACAATGTTTGGATAGATGGATGTGCATTCATAAATATTTGTTTTTATTAATGCATAATAAAACTATAGTATCGTCTAATATTTTTATATCATACCAAATTTATTTTTCTCCTTCAATTAAGCACAGGTCACCATGTTAAGATGGAAAAAAAAACTTGCAAAAATAAAAATATTTTCTTTATTAATCCTGAAGCCGATTTGGCAGTTGGCAGCGGGCATCCCAAGTGTACAATGGCCCCACAATATATTGCAAATCCATACGATTCCTACTCAACAGTTCGCTCTCTCCTTTATACCCGGTGCTTCATATTATTTTACAATTTTACCCTTTCTCTTCCATTAACTATGAAAATACCATCCAATAAAACGCGAGTATACTAATTTTTCTATACTCGCGATTTCAAGAAACAGGACCATCAAGAAATATAACCAAAACAGAATCAGCAAAAACTGCAAAGGGCGGCTTTTTCTGCTCCATACCATTTACGTTGCAACGACCAGCGTTGATACGTGATAGACACTCAAAAACAAAAAAGGACACGCTCTCTCTAAAAACTCTTTAAAGTTTATAGTCTCTTCTTCTTCCTTCTGCTGGTTCTAAGGTTCGCCGACGGTTTCGTTTTTTCAGCTTCTCTGTTTAGTTGTTGAAAGTTGCCTCAGTCGACTCGATTAGGGTTTTGAAATCGCTTTCTATAGAAGGTGATGAGTTCTTTTTTGTGCGTGTTTAAGTTTTTTTTTTTTCTTTCCTTTTACGGTACATTGTACTTTTAGTTCTATGTTCTGTTTGGGAGTGGAAAATGGATTATAATTGATGAAGAAAACACAAATGGTGAATGCTTGTTCGTTTCTCGTTTTAATGGATTTGGAAATTATTATTTTAGTCGTACATTACTTTTTTGGTAATAACTAGTTGAAGATCTGGTTGACATCCGAGAAAATGCAGGAAAAAGAACAAAGAGAGAGTGTTTGACTATATATATATATATAGTGTAAGTGGAATCTGATATTATGAAAGCAGAAGACGTTTAGTTGCTGCTTTATTTACTTCTCTGATTTTTGAATTTGAAAGCTGCTCATTTGCCTTCACTTGGACGATGATTATTAGACGCCTGCGCTGCTTTGGCTGAGAAGGAATAGAGTGGAAAAACAGATTGTCAATTTTATTTTCTGCTTTCCATGGTTTAATATGGGTGTTCTATGTTATTGGTACTCCAACTTGGGATTAATGTAAGGCCAGAAGCACTATGGTCTCAGAGAATCTTAATCTCAGTTATATAATATCATTTTTCTAGTATTTTGAATAAATAAAGGATGCCTTTTGTATTACGTCACCTGTGATCTGAGCTTAAAATTTCATGAACTATGTTTTTAATGTGCCCAGCTGTCTGAAGCCTAACTAGGCATCAGGCTTAATGGTGGTCAGTTTTTAGTGGTTAAAGGCCATGGCAACATAAGTGTGTGTTTACAAACTATTGTTGATACAGTTTTCTATAATATTAATTACCTTTTAGCATGTTATATTTCAGTTTGTTATTCTTCGTTTATTTAATGAGAAAAGTTTCAAATTCAACGGAGCCAAGAGTTCAGCGTGTGCAAATGAGCTAAGCACTGAACCGAGTGTTCTGACCTCGATGTTTGTATTTCAGGTTTGCAATGACTTCCACTTCAAGGAGAGAAAGAGACACAAGTAATTCGAAGTTAGAGGACTACAAATATAGGTATTATAACGAGTTGAAGAGGGGAAGAATTGATGTTAAAATTTCAAATTCAGGTTATAGATGCCCCTACTGTCATCGGAGGAGGGGAGATTACCTTTTTGAGGAGCTTCTTCAACATGCATATCATCTTGGTAGAGATATTCAAAGAATAGATCTCAAAGGGAGAGCTCAGCACTTAGCTTTGGAGAAGTATATAAACCGATATATGAATGTAAAGGAGAATTCAAAGCAAGCCTCCAAAACTGAGTTTTATGGCAATGAAAAACGTGATACGGCTCAGTTTTTTGTTTCTCCTACTGTACTTGACCATGAAAAAGACGGAAAAATTCCTTCCTCCAAACATGACCAGAAGTATATGAACAGATATATGAATGTAAAGGAGGAGTTAAAGCAAGCCTCCAAAACTGAGTTTCATGGCAATCAAAAACATGATGTGGCTCAGTTGTTTGTGTCTCCTACTGTACATAACCATGAAAAAGACGAAAAGATTCCTCCCTCCAAACATGATCATGGTAAAGACCAATTGTTTGTTTGGCCTTGCGTGGGAATTGTTGCTAATATCCAAACTCGTTTGATAAATGGTCGTCATGTTGCAGAGAGTGGTTCAAAACTTAGGGATGAGTTAACAAGAAAGGGGTTTGATCCAGTTAGGGTGCATCCTTTATGGAATCACTTGGGTCATTCTGGTTTTGCAATTGTTGATTTTAAGAATGGATGGGATGGCTTCAAAAATGCAATCATGTTTGAGAAGGATTTTGAAGTCAATCATTGTGGAAAGGAGGACTATTGTAATCTCCCACAGTGGCATAGGGGAGATAGGCTTTATGGATGGGTTGCACGAGATGCTGACTATTATTCTAGAGGTGTTATTGGTGGTCATTTGAGAAAGTATGGGGATCTAAAAAGTGTTTCTGGACAGGAAGCTGAGGACCGACGAAAGGATTCAAAACTTGTGACCACCTTGACAAATACCTTGCTAATAAAGAATGAGTGCCTTAGGGAAATGGAGATCAAAGTTAATGAGACTAATGTATCTTTGAACAAGGTGATAGAAGAAAAGGATGCTATAATCACATCTTTTAACGAAGGTACAATAGCTTATATGGTAACATAGATTCACCATAATAAAGGAAATTAAACAATAATTCACCGTAATATATTTTGCGCACAGATTCTACAATAGCTTATTTTCTTCTCTCTTTTTTGTGTTTTGTTTTGATTAGAAATGAGAAGGATGCAACAAATAGCACATGATCATTTTGAAAAGATTTACATAGAGCATAAGAGAGCAACACTAGATTTGGAAGCTCAGAGAAAGGAATTGGAGCAGCGTGAGAAGCAGCTTCAAAAACGGGAGTTTCAGAATGAAAATGAGAGGAGGAAGTTTCATCATGTTAAGAAAATGGTATCATATGGCTCTTCTTAAGTCAAATTCTAGCTAGGATTGAAATTTTGCATCACAAATGAAGTTGATAGTTTTAACTTAGTCCCTGCATGGATAATTCCAAAAATTATGTATTGGTATTTATAGCTCTGCCTATATATGCAAACTTGAAAATCATTAATGTTCATCTGGATAAAAAAATGCCTGAGATATTTCAGCAACAGTTACAACTTTGGAATGAAAATGGAAATATATTAATCTGAATACTCTTGTTCTTACTGTTTTTGTTTGTTTATGTCTTGAATATTGGAATCTGTTCAATATGCAGTTTATGAAAACTGGTGCTATTAATTCTACATGACTAAAGAGTAACAGAATCTTCCTTTATTGTTTTTGGCCCACTAGATGTTGCCAACACTAAATTTACTTTATGACACGTGACAACAGAATAGTGTTCCAGATAGCTGCAATTGATTTTAATACTCTTTGAAATGATCATAGATATCTATGTGTTGAGATCTCTTTTCCTTCTTTTAGAATGAGAGGGCAATAGTGGAGCAGAAAAAGGCAGATGAAAAGGTTTTCAGGTTGGCAGAAGAACAAAAGGTGCGTTCTTCATTCATTTGTAGAACCAGATTATAAAACAAATATCTCAGCTTGAAGAATATAATTGTGTTTGTGATCAACCACCATGGCAGAGACAAAAGGAGAAACTCCACAAGAAAATTATTGAGCTGGAAAAGAAACTTGATGCTAAACAAGCATTGGAGTTGGAGATAGAGCAGATGAAAGGCACTTTGCAAGTAATGAAGCACATGGGAGAGGATGAGGATATGGAGGTCAAGAAAAAGATGGACGTGATTCGCGAAGAACTTAAGGAAAAGGAAGAAGAACTTGATGCAATGGAAACACTTAACCAAACCCTTATTGTCAAGGAGCGCATGAATAATGATGAGTTGCAAGATGCTCGTAAGGAATTGATGACTGTAAGTGCCTAAAACCATAATCATTTTAAGTTGAGTTTTCTTTGAAATATAATATGGTAGGGAAATGAGCTTCTCAAATTGAATTAGTAGCTAAGTTGGATTAGCTAACTGTTATGATTAGATGTTCATGTAGAATTATCTACTTGAATGTTATAAGGCCTTTGCTGTTTGGTGGAAGTCTGATTTCCTTGCTTCATAGGGTTTAGGAGAAGATACCCGTGCTTTTATTCATGTCAAGAAAATGGGGGAGCTGGATGGTAGACCATTTCATACAGCAGCCAAGCGAAAATTTTCTGATGAAGAAGCTGATATGAAAGCAGGGGAGCTGTGTTCACTATGGGATCATTGCCTGCGAGACCCTGGCTGGCATCCATTTAAGATCATCACTGATAAGGAAGGACATTCTGAGGTACTTTCCTTACATTATCAGAGAACTGTACCCGACTAAAAAATGTGAAATGCTTGCTCAACAATATGTAAGAATATAAAGTTATTGTCTCCCGCTAGTAAAAATTTTCACATTCACATCGGTTAAATTGTTAATAATTGCCACTTTAACTTGAAACTGGTATTCTTTATTATTTTATTTCCTTAGCAGGAGTTTATTGTTAGTTGCGTTGTGCTACAGTTAATACAATACTTGAATATTTTTCAAAACCTAGCAGCAGTTATTACATTTGGAGGTAGCTAACTTTTCATGTTCCCCAGTGTCTCTATTGTATCATTTTCATTTAGTTGGGGTGCACAACAGGGACTTGTCGAGCTTGTCTTCCTTAAGGTGTCACATTGTCTCGCTTGGACGGTCTGTTATTCTTCAATTTCCTCTCACAACCTGTTTTTTTCAATTTCTTTTCCACATCTCAACAAAAAATTCTGTATTACTCTCTCCCTCATATGGCAGACGACCTTTCAATCATCTTGCTTAACATTTCTTGGGTAATTATTCATCATACAATTTTTCATTTCCTTTTGCTTCCTCTGTATCTTATAAAATTATTGGACTTGGATCTGAATGAGTAGGAGATACTCAATGAAGATGATGAAAAGCTGAAAGAACTGAAGAGTGAGTACGGCCTTGAAGTTTATGTTGCTGTGACTAAAGCCTTGAAAGAAATAAATGAATATAATCCAAGTGGGAGGTACATCGTAAGGGAGATTTGGAATTCCAAGGAGAACAGAAAAGCATCATTGAAGGAGGGAGTAGTGCATTTACTGAAGCAGTGGAAGCTGCATAAACGAAAGAAAACCTAAGGTATATACATGTCATCTAATAAATACAAAATATATTGTACGAGTCACTGACACTGCCCTTTTATTCCGTCTTGTTTTGACTGGATAATTCAGCATAAAAGTTAGAGGTTTTAGATTCTATATGAAAATTGGCTTTCTTTTTATGCATGTTTATATCTAATTCATTTATAATAAGCAAAACTATATTTCATCATTTAGCTTGGAGTGTTGTGCATAACTGTAAGTAGAAGCTACAGGTGTGTCTATAAGCTTCATATTTAGCCTGCAAGACATGATGGATACTATTTAGTTCAACAAAAGATATGCTAATACACACAAATTTATTAGTTGTAGCCTTTTACACCAGGCATGATTTTGTCATTCATCTCTTACACAAACATTCTGAAAATTCAGTTAACTAACACATTATTGCTTTGATTAGGATTTTGCACATATAATATTTGTGAGCTTTTAATCGGATTCGTTGCCTGAATGATTTGGTTCTTCAGTTGGCTTCCGCTAAATGTTCTCAGCATAAGTGACCTTATTAGATGGCTAGAAAACCGTCTATCTTGTCTTATTTAACTACTAACTTGGTTATTGATCATTAATTTTTACAGTGGTAAAGGGTGAAATTTTATCATGGTTTCTGGATTTTTTATCTATTTACTGTAGTGAAGTAATGCTGATTCCCACCATCTATTTTCAACATTATGAGACTTGAATGATTTCACAGGTCATATATATATATATATATATATATATTTCACAGGTCATATATATATATATATATATATATATATATATTATACTATTACCTTTATGCTGTGTTAAGTCCAACAAATTAAAACTTTGTGATACAGTTTGTTGGTGATATATATATATATATATATATATATACGTATACTTTTGGTGTTTAAGTCCAAAAATAACTTTGACAGTTGTGTGGTGATACTGTTTAACAGTTTAAAGCCTATACCGCTAAAACAGGGGAAACATGCTCAATACAATTAATTTAATAGCTGAACAAAGCTGCTCTTTATTAGGCAAAGGAATTATCCGATGACACATTTGAGCTAATTTTTAATGTTTCAAATAACTCAAAATTCTATCTATATTAATTGTACCGCTGAGTGACATAGCTTTTATAATAGCCTGAGAGGTTGAGCGAGTTTTTTATGAAATCTTAATCATTTTGGGTAACAGTTTTTATTATAGCTTTGAGAGGTTGAACAAGCTTTTTATGAATCTTCAACCATCTTGGGTAACAGCTATAATGATTTTGAGAGGCTCAGCGAACTCTTTATAAAATGTTATAAACTCTTTTTACACATTAATTAATTTGATTTTTTTAATTTTATATTTTTAAATTTATTAATACCATATGATTTAGGTGGAAATACTTTATATTTTGCAATTCATCCTTAATTGTAATTGATGGTGCTATTGCCATAAAAAGTCGGGATTTGAGTAAAATGGATAAAAAAAATCAAAATAGAAAGTGAAATTGCAAAAGCTTCTAAAACTTGGGGTATTTTAATACATTAGACCGCGAAAAGAGTATAAAATAGAAATGCTATTTTAAAAAAATTTCTATTTTCATTGATTTATTTTTTAACTAATTCTAAATTACTATATGTTCATCCTTATCAATTAAACTCGGATATAGTCTTTTCTTTTCAAATTTTTATTTTAAAATATAATTAAGTAATAATATTTGCCTAAAAATTTCTTAGTGTTTATTGCTAATTATAATAATGAAGATGATAATTGAATATGATATGAATTTGAAAGAACAATTCGCAAAGAGCTTGGTGAACATTACAAGCCTAGGAAATGAATGTGTACAGCTGGACTGGACCTATCCAGTTTTGGAATTACAAGGTAGATGGAAAGGCAGACTTAAAAGATGGCTTGAGGCAGTTATTCAATTAAAGTAGAATAAGGGGATAACTATAAAGTTGGTGTGTTAACTTTTTAATTTGGTGTTTAATTGTAATTGAGTGTCTTAATTAATTATTTTGGTATAATTAAATGCATTTAGTCAAAATTTCTCATTGATATTCTAAAAATATATTATATAATTTCTAAATTGTACTTTTTTAATGTAAATATAAAAATAAATTACACCTAAAAAATGTGGATAAAATTGAAAAAAAAAAAATATAGTCTCAAAATTCTAAATGAGTAATTAAAGTGGAATGGATGGAGTATTTTAGTCAATTGCTTTATTTTATTTATTTAATATTTGTTTGCTTTCTTTTCTATTTATTTTTCTCTTCTTTTTCTTTTAATAGTATTTTGAAAATGAAAATTGAAAAACAACTAGAAGAAAATTTGAGACCTTTTACTATAGAGAAGGGATATAAAATAATAAAAAAATTAAAAAAATGAAAAAAAATGATGAATTTAATAAATATTTATGTTTTCTATTATTTATTGAGTACAATGTTTTATTTTAATTTTTCGACAAAATAATCCTACCAAATGCACTTGATTGTAACTTTTTAATAGTTTAAACATTCAATTGAAAATTTTCATTTAGAAATTAAATAAAAAAATTTTAAAAAGTTTAGACTATATATACATTGAAAATTTCATTTATAAATTAAATTAAAAAAATTTAAAAAGTTCTAAGACCTATATATATATATAATTATAACTAGTATATATAATTGCTCTTTGCTTATATCTTTCGCCAAGTAATTTTTTTTTTCCTTACTAATCGTAATATAAGCATTGGCATTTATATTTTTGATGAGATTGGAAACACAGCTAGAATTCAAAAAATGGTGTGTTTTTGAAACTAAGAATAATATAAAAAATTACAAAAATTTATCCGGTAATACGAAAAATATATAATAATATACAAATATTTCTGGTGCTTTATAATTTGAAATTTTAAATTTATTTATAAAATATGAGTAGCTAAATCAAAATTTAGAGAATTTAAAATGGTTAAATAGATAAGCTTTTTGTTAAATATTTATTATAACAGATACAAAATTTCCAAAGAGTGAAGCTCCCAATGCATATATACTTTAAAAAATTTTAAAAATTTGAAAGTTTTGGGAAATACTAAATTCGCCCCCTTACAAAATGGTTTATTTATACATTTACGTATCAATATTTTATTTCAATATTTTCATGATTCAACAATAATTTTCAAAATAAATTTTAATATAATATGAAAAAACGACCTTGCCTTTTAAAGAAAATTACCCAATTTCCTTAATAAAGAATATAATATGAATACATTTATAATATTTTCCGATATTAATAAAGCAACGAATTACCAAACTGTAGGACCAATTGAAATTCTTCTCTACTATTAAATTTGGAGCATGATTAGCAAAAGGGATTTCAAACGTGTTCTGAGTCAAAAACCCGGCTTCCCTTTATATATGCTCTTGCTTATATCTTCGCAAGTAATTTTTTTTTTCCTTTACTAATGTATATAAGCCATTGCTTATATTTTGATGAGATTGGAACACAGCTAGAATTCAAAAAATGGGTGTTTGAAATAAAATAATATAAAAAATTAAAAATTATCGGTAATACGAATAAATTATCAATTTTTGGTGCTTTATAATTGAAATTTTAAATTTATTTATAAAATATGAGTACTAAATAAAATTTAAGAGAATTTAATGGTTAAATAGATAATCTTTTTGTAAAATATTTATTTAAAGATACAAATTTCCAAAGATTGAGAGCTCAATGCATATATATTTAAAAATTAAAATTTGGAAAAGTTTTGGGAAATACTAAATTCGCCCCTTACAAAATGGTTTATGTTATATTACTATCAATATTTTATTTCAATGATTTCATATCAACAATAATTTTCAAAATAAAATTTAATATAATATGAAAAACGACCTTGCCTTTTAAAGAAAATTACCAATTCCTTAATAAAGAATATAATATGAATACATTATAATATTTTCGATATTAATAAGAAATACAACTGTAGACAATTGAAATCTTCTACTATTAATTTGGAGATGATTGCAAAAGGGATCAAACTTTCTGAGTAAAACCCGGTTCCCTTTTATGCAACTTTAATTTTACATGAATGATTAATTTTATTAAAGCTTTGATACATGAAAGACATAGATGAATATAACCCAAGTGGAAGGAACATTCTTTATTCAGTTTAACCAACATTATTAGTGGTTTTATCAGGATTGCAAATATGGTATTAGTGAGCTTTTGTCGGATTTATTGTCTGAATGGTTTGGTTCTTCAGTTGGCTTCTGCTAAATCTTCGCGACATATCTGATCTATTTCAATGGTAAGAAAAACCTACAATCTTGTCTTCCTTTAACTACTATTTTGCTTATCTATCATCAATTATTACATTAGGGTGAAACTGTGAAACATTGCTATATTTGTAGTCCGACATTTATTAAGATTTCATTTAGTTGTGAATACACATTTCTTCGCAAGAGAAACACCGTCAAATAACTTACTGGTCTAGTACAAAGTAACAGTGCAAATTTTTCTTGCATGGAGGTCTGATGACAAGAACCTGCAACCAGAGAGTCAGAGACCAGGATCCTGTATTTAAGCTGGATCAGCACCTGTAATTCCAAATGTCCATTATGAAACACGGTAACACGAGTTGACAAGTAAGCTATGCAAGGAAATTAGATTCTTGACCCTTGATTCAGATTGATCTAGAAAATCTCGTAATTGTTTTTATCGAAGAATCAATCTGATTTATTTCAAAACGCTTGGAAAACCCATATGCGAAGAAGTTTTTTGTGTTGCTGCCAAGTAACGAGTTAAAGCATTTTGGAAAAAGATAAAGGCAAATATAACAGTCCTATAGGCTAAAACTCTTCATCTTGACATGAAGTCTGGGGTGTTTGCATGAAACTTGAGAGTTGTGATTCCACTTTTAGACTGTGAGAGACATTTTTCTTTGTTTTAGGAACCTAAATGCAGAATCTTATTAATAGGAAAAGAGCACTTTTGTAGGAAATTACTGAAGAGAGTACCTTATCATAGATCTACAGGAATTCTCAGACCATCATAAGCTAGCTGCACCAGTATTCCTTCCCTAGATTAGAACAGTGACAAACAAAAGTCAGGATCTTAGTCTTCAACGAAAATAAAAAGAACAACGCAAACCAACCTGGTCTATTACTCAATCAATTATGATATGCTGCGACCTAATTAATAACAAAAAAGGATCAAAGCGCAGTGGCCGTCTAGTGGTTTTTTCCATATCTGCTGCTTATATGAAAAAAAATATGAAGAAAATTTTGGTGGAATGCTATTGAACTATGCCAATGTGATCTTAAACTACACTACTAAGCTGATATGAGCATTCCCGTATGCAATTTACTAAATAGCCAAATTTTGTAAATTGTACTTCGTAATACATGCCATCAATGAGACCATGATCATCAAGAATAAATGTAACACCTTTTAGACCATTCTGCTAAAAAGTCATTGTCCTTGTGATGATCAAACTCGTGACCCATGCCAGTAAAAAGAGCTTGCTTTGGACATAGTCTTCTTACAGCTTCAAGGGCCTGAAGATTAAGTAAGTATAAAAGGCAGCGAAAGCTTTTAAAATGTTTCAAAGAAGATCAAGTGAAGCAGAGCTGGGAAAAAAAGAAACTAACATCTGATAAGCAGAAGTGAGCACCAGTGAGCCCAGTCTGTGAGAAATATGCAAGTAGAAGATCAGTGATATTAATACCTGAAAATATCAGAAATCAAAAAGAAGAATGACAAAACAAACCGGCTAAACTCATGTTGTTACTAGCTTAAGCGGAGGACCAGAATCGAAGAGGTTTTGTGTAAGCGTAAGCTGTTACGTCTAATAATTACGTAAATAACTATGTAGACCCTGAGGTTTAGCCTAATTAATAAGCGCATCCGAACTTCTGAAAAAAAAGAACTATATTTAAGTCCCTGAAATTTAATTTTGTCAACAGGATGGTCTTTTAGGATTCACAGAGAAAATCATAAATCAATGCTTTTTCAGCTGTCAAATAAATTATTTTTATTTGGAAATCCAAAATTATCCATAATGAATATTTGGACCAATTAAGAAAAATGGCAACATTTCATCATTGACAGTTTGACACTAAAACGACAACTGCAGAAGCAAAAAAATGCAACCATCTGTCAATCCCTTACCAATAAACAGGAAAGAAATACCATTCTATAAGGTTATATGAAACCATGAATGCTGCTTAAAATTTCTCATTTCCATAAAAAGGTTGATGAAGGAAGTTGACCAAACATAATTTTCCAACTGACCTTGCGTGAGGCATCCATGATAAGAAGATCCAACTGCCCAGCCCCTTCTTTTGAGATTACTGCAACAGCCAAGATTCAGTGGATCAAAAACCAATAAAAAAGGTGAAAGAAGAAAAGTGTCCTCACTTTAAAACATCCAACAAAACATGACAAATGTTTCTTGAAACATATGATGGCTAATTCTCCATTAATTTCATGACATTTCAAAGATTCATAACTCGTGCATGGTTTGGAAAACATGCATAAGCATTTACCAAAAAGATATACCATTTTCCAAAACATGCATAAGCGTTTCATGATTTACCATCACAAGCAGGATAAACAAATAACACTCACTATATTCTGTGTTTGCAGGAAAACTTGAAACGTCAGATATATAAGCTACTCTACTTTTTTCACCAAAAAGAAAACCCAGGCAAATATAATCTTCTCTGTGCATCACCTGAACGAGCACCGTGTAAGAAACAAGAAAAAATAGTAGTATGTGTGTGTGTGTTTTCGTGCATATATCTGCATTGAAGAGATTTTAGGAGCAAGTAACTGGCAAAGGAACAAATTGTACGCCTGATGCAACAAATGGACTCTGGCAGTCTTCCTTAATTATCTTCCAATCCAGCTGTGCTGCTACAGGCCTTATTTCTTGGCCTTCCTTTAATTTTTTATTTATCAAGTATGGAAATCTCAAAGAAACGCTGTTTCAAAGGTAAACATAAACAAACATCATAAAAATGATGTCATAAGTTAAGATTGCGGTTGACACAGCAGAAAGTAACAATGAATTAGAAATGCAGAATACACTAAGTTCTATGGTCACGAAGTCTGAACAAATAACTCCATTGTTTTCTAATCAATAAATCAGCTAGGTTTTGGCACTGTTTTAAAATCTAGGCAAAAAGATATGCAAATAACTCATTTATAATGACCAACCAAACAAGAAAACGGAAAATGCTAAGTCGTTCAAAGGATTGTGAGTTTTAATTAAGCAAATAGGAGCATTTAAGCCAACTTATATTTTGGCTGCAGAATGCATGGCATCTTGAAGCCAAAGCTTACCAAATTTCAAACTTTTCAACTGATGATTAAGGATACAATATTCAATAGTAAATAAAGAGTGCCTTGGAATTAGGAAAAGATTTTTTTTAAGATTACATGTATTTAATTTCTCTAAATTAGTTGTAAAGAGTCTATGATTTTATGCTTGTACTATATACAACTTTCCCCATTAAATTTCAATAAGAATATAAAAATTAAAAGAAAAAAAAAAATCAAATTATTGTAATTATTTTATTTAGATTATTTTAGACCCCCAACGTTTAAGTTCCCCAAGCTTCAATATTCTTAACTCATTACAGTAAGTCATTTATCATTCGACCACTTCATATGATAATCTTTAACCAACTTAAACATGACACTGTAGGTATTTATCTTGTTTGTCAGCTAATTCACTCTAATTTCACAAATTGGTGAGACTTCATCACAAAGAACCATTAACACACCAAAGCATCATATATAATATTAAAAAATCAATCCATGGTAGTATTGACCAATGAGAATGTAGAAAAGATGCAAGTGTGCAGCTGAGCAGGAATAGGAAGGTACCTATCCATGGTAAACTGACTTAGATAAATGGGAATGCTATTTGTGGGCGTAAAAGGTAGTACAGCACGTATATCATCAAGACCAAGAACTGCATCAGCATGTTCATGACTCAAAATAATCTGCAATTCACACAAACTTATGTCCTAATACTGCCAGAAATCTGGAGCTATAATTGTGAAGTAAGTTGAGAAATAATAATTATTTTCAGCACAGGAATGCATAATAAATGCAGAACCATCTAAATCTCATCTGCTCTTAAATAATGTGATTCACATTTAACAACAGCAACCTATTTCATAGGTTTGAAAAAAAAAATATATGTTCATTGCTCACAATGAAAAGAAAGCAGTCTGATTTAGCAATAACAAGATGTCACTGCTCAAGCTTGCCATTATTTCCCCGAGAGCCGTTGGCATGCTCAAAATTCAGGCAAAACCACCAAAACCAATCATTTTGCACTTTTGGCTCTTAGTTTTTTAGATCAACCTAAAACCATGCAGAAATCATGCTGCTCCACTTTAGAAATGGATTTCAAAAATACATTTATATGAATTCTCCCTTACTGCCCTCCCTTCTTCCCCCATGGTTTAGAAGTACTCAATTTGCTGTGTCGATTGATCCTTCTTTTGGTAACAACATGATATTAAAAAGATAGCTGAGCATGACATTAAAATTAAAATAAGAAACTGAGTTTTGCTAAAACATTTTACTTGAAGTCATGACTACTTCAGTAAAGACAACTAGCTGCATTCTATTTCAGAAAAGAGACCTATATCAGATTGGTCATTTTGTTCCTGTACAGAAGAGTTGCTTACCTTAGTCTACTGCTTATCTTGATGAGATCTCCATAAATTAAACAATTTATACAGGGAAAGCATAAAGATGCTTAAATCAACTCAATGAAAAATCAAACTCCAGTTGCATGAATCTGCCTATTTGTTACTCTTCCAATATCAAGTTCCACTGGAGATGACTCTCTAATTATAATCACATCTACCTCATTTCTTCCCATCCCAATATAGTTTGTTCCATAGTTGAACTTTGTCCACTTATATAATAAAAACATTAGCAAACTGAAAAAATAGAAAACACATAATCTTTTCCAAATCTATTCAATTCCTCATGCTGACTTGTCGTGGCTACATTTGGCCAACAAATATGAGAAAAATACCTTCATTAAGGAAGCTAGAACTAAACCAGCAACAAATTAATCATTAATGTGAACTAAACTAACGTAAAAGATAACTCACAGAGTCCACTCGAGGAATCTTGTGGAGAGTAAACCACCTAAGCACTTGTTCCCTGAATGTCTTCCCAATGTCAATTAATATATATTTGTGCTTGTCATCACTCTGGCAATAATCTATAAGAAGAGACGTATTGCACCTGTACATTTAAAATAATTGGAAACGCACATACGCATAAACCAACTCGTCATTCCTGAATCCTCTCAATAAACAAACACAGGCAATTAAAAAATAAAATAAACTTATTAACTTTTTTTTTTTGTCTTGAAAAAACTTCAGAAAAAGAAAGAAAACCTGTAGTTGGGGTTTTTCTCAGGTGGGACAGAGAGGGCCCGGGAGCAAACATGGCAAGGTGGATCTGATGGCTGTATCAGGCACAATCCAAAGGGGACAGTGTTGGAGCACCCAGTTCCAAGAAAGATCAAAGCTGACGTAACACCATCATGAACAGGGTTTGGGGTGAGATTCTGAGTCTCCATTGCATCCTCGTCTCTTGTAGCTTTCTGGGTCAATGTTGTGCACTCTTAGTGACAAGGGTTGGTCCCTGGCAGTGAGTCGGGAACAACAACGCTGAAGGGTTATTGGGAAGATTCTTTGTGGTGTGGGATTTGGAGGGAGGAAGTCAAAGGTTATGGCAATTTGCTTAGACATCGTTGTCATTTAAGCTTTTAAAATTCGTTAAACTAAGAAAATATTCCAACACGACATTGGAAAACCGAGTAAGTTTGCTATTTATTTAAGGCACATTTGGATTTTCTTGAGATAAATCAATTATCACGTCCCCAAGTGCAGAAAGTGATTTCCTTATTTGTCGTGTGCCTCCCTCAACCTCTCTCCAGTGGTTCGGACCATCTACCCTTTCACTACCACCAAGATCTATTAAATGCAGACTATCGCGCAAAAGCGCATCAAATTGAACCAAAAGCCTCATAGTTTGTCATTTTGTCATTGTTAGGCTATCGTTATTAGAAAGACATCATGTGAGATCTGCTGCTACTTTCATTCAGGACAGTAGCACTAATCGCACGGTTCATCAATTCAAAGACAATCTGTGGTTGATGTGATACAGAGCATGCTAGCATCAAGATCAGCTAAACCATTTGGTTGGATTGTACTCCACATCCCAAGTGTGTGCTAATAACGAAAATGCAGAAGTTTTAACATAAAATCAAGATAAATTGAAGCAGCACATTATCACGAAGAAGGTGAAGAAAGACTGATATTCTCAGAGACACATTTACTAGAGCATATCTTCTTCAATGGCAATCTCCAGCTCATCCAGCAAACCCAAGACTATTAACTATTCAAGAACTGGTGCACATTATCCAAGACAAAAAGAAAATTGGTATTTGATTAGAAGTTCATATCAAGCTCAAACCAGTCACAAAATTTGTTCATAACATGAAACCCATAAAAGCCAATGCAACTATTTAAAAAATGTGCATACATTAAATTAGTTATCTTATACAAAACAGCAGTTCCTGCCACCAGATTTGGAACACAATCTAAGAACTCCCTCTCCTGCATGATTGCACCATTTGCAGAGCTAGTTTATCAACATTTTCAGAAATTGGAATTGTTTGGACAGAGTTCTTAACAACTACCTTGTCGCCAGGCAGGCAATGGAAAACTTCTGAAGCAAAAGCAGCACTTTGGAAGCTGTATATAATGTTCCCCTGAGTGACAGCCAAATAGCAAAGCAGCTCCATGTCATGGTAATCGGATAAGCCTGTTCACAGCAGTGTCTAAAGCATCCACATTTCTCCTCAGGATTTTTCTTCACAAAAATTAAGAAACCAAAGAGAGCAAAAGAAACAAGAAGCAGTTGTATGTATATAAGAAATTTGGCAATATTAGGATCAAATGCAAGATCTTATGTGTAGTCCTTGTGAATCATCCAAAGAATGAAGACCCATTCAGGAATTCAGCTACCTAATGTGATTTGAATGAGTTAACCTGAAACAGTTCTTTCAAAGGTAGATCATGGGGTAGGGCAAGAACCAATTAAACAAGTAGCATATCAATTTTTTTTTTTTGAAATGGCAAGGATACAGTTGTCCAGCTAGGGAATCAATTCCCTTCATTTCCTCGTTTAATCTGCAAACAAGAATTCAAAACATGAGTTAGATTAACAACGTTCAACATGCTATCTGCTTTAAAAATTTGCCGAAAATTCTTGCACTCTTTTTATTAATAGGATGTTAAAGGGACCACTAGAAAAGGCAACCATCGGGTACAAAGTGCTGAGTGTCAGCACTCAAGTTCCAAAAGAGGCAGAAACCAACTTAGTACTGGCATATCCCAGCCGGATTTCAGTCAGAAGGGAATGTCTGGACTCCGGGGCACCATACATGTAAAGGCAATCCACAGGAATTGTAACTTCTTCAAGTTATGCCTTGGGTAATACAACACTCATAAAAAATAGGATCAACTGGTTCCACCCATTTAACCCAATTGCTTTTATCTTGCATTTGTCAGGTTCACATAAGCATAATCAGTTTCAACCTAAAAATTAATAAAGCACAATGTCGGTTGTCTTGGTAACATTTCATAACTCAGAGCCACAAATAAAAACGATGTTCCACAATTTACTTTCACATAACAGACCCATTGCTTCTCAATTCCCATCTCTCTCTCTCTCTCTCTCTCTATCGTCAATTACTTCGTTTCCATTCATATCCACTTGCCTATGCCTAATGCCTCCACTTTTCATCAAAACCATCATTAGTCTCTTTCCTCTTATCATACTATTTTAACAAGATATACTTAAGTGTAGTAGTCGATATTCGCAAAAAAGCTATGAATGCCATGAATCAAATCAGGAACAGTATATTTTTTAAGCACTTCAAATTTATGACATTCTTTTCTATTGCTTTGACTTTTAACTTTTCTATTTCTTTGTACTTATATCAACATGGTTGTTTTGCAACTCAGGTTTTTTTTTTTTTTTTTTTTTTTTTCGTTTCCATTTCATATCCACTTGCCTATCCTAATGCCTCCACTTTTCATCAAAAACCAATCATTAGTCTCTTTCCTTCTTATCATACTATTTTAACAGATATACTTAAGTGTAGTTAGTCGCATATTTCGCCAAAAAGCTATGGAATGCCCATGAATCAAAATCGAGGAAAACAGTATATTTTTTAAGCACTTTCAAATTTATGACATTTCTTTTCTATTTGCTTGACTTTTAACTTTTCTATTGCTTTGTTACTTATATTCAACATGGTTGTTTGCAACTTCAGGTTTTTTTTTTTTTTTTTTTTTTTTTTAAAATTTTAGATTTTTTTTTTTTTTTTTTTTTTTTTTTAAATTTTAGAATTTGGCCTCCATTGCAATTTTGAATATTCAAGTAGATGCATAAAATTATGAATTCATATAAATTTTTGTATGAATTTTTCTTTTCTTTTTTTTTTGTTGATTATCGTTAATTTATTATTATTTCTATCATATTCATCCATCATTCATTTTTTATTGAACATTTTGGGGATTTCTTCTCAAAGTGGTATAGAAGGAAAAAAGTTTCTGAGATTTGGCAGTTCAATACACCAGTTCGGGTTATGCGGCAAGCAAACCCACTTTTGGTTCAGGTCAATTTGCAAGGACACCCAAACCCAATCTGATTTTGAACAGCCCTAGCTGCAACTTTAGAAGCTGACATTGACTAATCCATGATCTATTGAGGAAGATGATAAGATCGTCTTGAAATGAAGCTCTAATATTCTCAGTTCAATGCAGGCAAACGATTCAAATGTGATGGTGGAACCCAATTAACCACGATTCTGGGAATATAATAATTTCTCTAGTAGGTCACAACCATCTTTTGCAAGTGACTCTGTTCCACTAAAGTTAAACTTAAACTCACCTGTCTATCATCATCTTGATAATTCAACATCTAGTATTTCATACTGCCAACTCCAACTCTAATCTTTAGACCTACACCATTTGCAAGACATTTGAATCTCCTAAGTATCCCAATGCAAGCTAGACAGCTCCAAGTGCATCATCACACCCCAGATAAATTTTTTTTTTGAAAGGACACACCCTAGATAAGTATTCACATACATGAATATTCCACTATATAAATCCTTAAGTTAAAAAATCATGTGTATGATTGCTCTAAGACCCTCACCTTTGCTGCCACAGCAAGTTTGAAATCAAGCTAGGTGCCTCATTTATGTTACTGCAAGGAATTCCTCCTTATAAAAGGAGTAAAAAATTAATGCAAGAAAAAAGGTTCTCAGCTTTTGACCAAATGACAAGTTGTAACTAAGCTTCACAAGAAGCTGCCATCCATCAGCTTTCTTCTTTTTTTTTTTTTTTTTTGCCCTAATCAATTTTTTTTTTTTTTGCTCCTTATCAAATAGATGTATGCATCACCCAACGTAATTATTTCGTCCTCCAATTATGTAACTTTCCAAAAATTGCCATTACTTGGGTAAAAAATTACCTGAGACAAGAATGATATATCGGTTTCCTTTCGTTGCTTGCATCAAAGTTTTTTTTTTTTTTTTTTTTGCCCTAATCAAATAGATGTATGCATCACCCAACGTAATTATTTCGTTCCAATTATGTAACTTTCCAAAAATTGCATTACTGGGTAAAAAATTACCTGAGACAAGAATTGATATATCGGTTTCCTTTCGTTGCTGCATCAAGTACTGTAATTACACATGAAAAAATAATGATAAAGATGACCTTTTTTTTAGAAAAAATAAAAAGGAAAATTAATATCGATTATACTGTTTACCAGACTCCTGAAGACGACCGGCAGCATCTCCAAAGCATTGCATATGATCAGTCGAGTTGGTAGTGACCTGCAAATTACTCGTATTTAATTCTTAGGAACCAAAGAGAAAGCTGAAGAAAATGGAAAAAAAAACGTTCACACTGAAATCGAAAAGCCTACCTCAGATAGAGCCAAGCGAAGAGATGCGAAGAGGCCGGTGAAGCTCTCGGCGATTGCCAAAGAGTCTCTCTCAACGACTTTCAGAGCCTTGAAGATCTCGCGCTGGTTCAAGGCTTGTTTAGAATCTGTGCTGTCGGGTTCATTGGAATCAGGTCTTGATTCAGGAGACGCGGACGGTGGATCGAGTTCTGGCTGAGCGATTAAAGCTTCTGCCACTGTTGATTGCTCTCTCTGAGGCTGAGTGGCTTCTTCTTCGGAATCCATCGTCGCTCGAGTAAAAGTCGAACTATCGCTCCTTAATCGAACATATTTACTTGCTCCGTTGCTCGTGTTTGATAACTGTCATTGTTACGGATAAACTAGTTCTTCCCCGGCAAACGACCGTGTTTCTCTGCGTGGGTAGTTGGCGTTTCTTTCTTTTAACGAAACGGCGAGGCATTGTTTCCTTAAGCACTGCATGTCGTTCCGGTCCGGTAAACCAGCATTTGTTATTTCCAGGACGGTATATTTATTGGAGCAAGGGAGTGCGACTTGTCTTCCAATAATAATAATGTTCTTAATTAATTAATTAATAACGGCTTCCTCAGTTCTACTTTCCCAATATTTACTCTTTTTACGATCATCAAGAAAATGATTAAAATTTATTAATTTTTTAAAAATATAAAATATAATATTTAAATTTTTCTTTTTAAATGTAATACAAAAATAAATTATACCTAATAAATATAAATAAAATTAAAAAAAATAATTAATATAGTCTTAAAATCCTAAATAAAGATTTAAAGTGGCGCAATACTAATAAGAAGTAAATATCCCTTTGTCCTCAATTGATAAATAGAACTTATATCATCACCTTTACAGAGATTGAGATTGCTAATCATATCAGTCAACACCTTATTGTAATTAATTATTTATTTAATATTGTTCAATATACGTTTGAAAATGGCTAAACTTAACAAATATTCACATTTTCAATTTCAAACTGATTATCAATAGAGCAACAAGTAAAATTAAGTATAGGTATAATAGAAATTTAACATGTTAACAAACTTATTAAAATGGTAAGTAGGCTATAATTTTGGACAAATGAAAAAAGAAAGTGTACTTATCAATTGGAAACTGAGGAAGTATGGATTTTATTCCTTTACATTTAACTCATTTGGTTACATTATTTATATTAGTTGATAGCTGATAGCAATTACTAATAATTGGTGTCCGAAAACTATAAGTATTTGTTAATGGATTTTAGCGTTTAGGAGAATGTTACCAATGATAGTTACTAAAAAGTAAGGTAACCATTAAGATTATATATATATAAAATTTATTTCAATTGTAATAGTTATTTTACAAGTCAATAGAGTTGAAATATAATATGAATACAAATTAGATAGCCATCAGATAGAAAAAAACTTCAAAATAGGAAAAAAATATTGTCGTTTTCAGCTGTGATGTCGTTTTCGGGGGCAAATATTGTCTAAGCTATTGAGTATGAGCTGTTGAAGCTACACATAAATTCATTTCGTGTAGTTCATATCAGCAATGGATGGAAACAATATAAGAACATCTCTGCTGATAACTCACAATTCAGATCTCAACCTGCAAATGGAAAATGAAAATTATTACTGAAAGTAATAAAGCCTTATTTGGTATATATGAATTCCAAAAAACGTTGTGAAATTTAATTAAATTCCATGTTTTCATATTTAGTATGAATGAATGTCAATTTACTATCAGTTTTGTAAATTCTCTGTACGTTAATATAAATAAATTCTAGACTTTAAATTCAATTATACATATCAAAGGGGGTAATATATGTATATAATGCTCTCCCTTGCCAATAAATAGATTGATTGCTTTTGCAAGAGTCTGGCTTACTTTCTCATAGGTCCATGGGAATTTTCAAACCATCATGTGCAAGCTGCACTGGTATTCCTTCCCTGCATAAAAACAGGGACAACAAAAGCATGCCAATTCCTTAGTTTCCAATCAAGATTTAAAAAAATGCTGATAAAACAGAAACATACAATCTTAATCCTACTGAACCATATCGATATCATATGATCTGAGATTCTGATATCAGAAAATGCATTTTACTCGAGAGTGAAACTGTGTCAATTGTGATGTAAAATGCATGGCATTGATGAAATAATAATCATCAGGAGCACATTTTACACCTTTCAGACCATTCTGCTAAGAAGTCATTTCCCTTGTAATGATCAAAATCATGACCCATTCCAATTAAAAGAGCTTGCTTCGGACGTAATCTCTTCACAGCTTCAAGGGTCTGCAGATTAAGCAGCATAAATGGCAGTAGGAGCAAATAAAATATTCTGAAAAGGTTCAGTTGATGAAAGACCAGAGGGACAAAATAAAAAACCTGAGGTAAGCAGAAGTGAACGTTGTGGGACCCATTCTGCAGAGAAAAAACAAGCAGAAGATCAATGATATTCATTCCTCAAACTATCAGGAAATGTAAAGTAGAATGGCAAGAGAAGCCCTTTTCCATTACCAACCAAGCATCTTTGCCTTTTTTTTTTTTAATAGGGATATTGATTTGCACAATGTCTGGGGTCAAGGGATTCAAATTAAAACAAGTAATCAACCTGGTCACATGTGTTCACATGTATACAAACATTGCAAACACCAATTTTCTGGCAGTTCATGCATACTCTGAATGATTTTATGTCAAAATACACACAGAATGATGAGTAAGCAATCCCGGCATACAAGTTCCTTTGTTGGATATCAAACCCTTAATTAATTATACCCTGAATTTCTTTTCCATAGAAACTACTGACAAGCAATCATGAAAATATAAAAAATATTAGCTTCGTGACTGACCTTCCGCAAAGCATCTAAGATAAGAAGATCCAATTGCCCAGCCCCAGACTTTGATATTACTGCAAAAATCAAGATTCAGCAAATCAAAAAAACCATAAGTTAACAATGAGACATATATCCAGAATACTATTCTCCTTTTAACATTTTCCAAAACAACAGGCAAGGGTTTCTCCACCAATAAAGATTGCTGGATGAACAAATAATACACACCATATTCTGTTGTTGTAGGAATACGTGAAACATCAGATATATAAGCTACTCTACTTTTTTCACCAAAGAGAAAACCCAATGAAACATAATCTTCTCCATGCATAACCTGCCGAAGAAAACAAACATGAGAAACAAGGATATGTAGAACTAAAGTGTGTTTTTGCGGATGCATATTTATTTGAAGAGAGTTTCAGAGCAATTAACTGGCAAAGGAACAAATTGTAAGCCAGATACAATAAATGGTCTTTGACAGTCTTCCTCAATTATCTTCCAATCGAACTGTGCCACCCGCCTTATTTCTTGGCCTTCTCTTAACTTTTTGTTTATCAAGTAAGCAAATTTCAAAGAGATACTGTTCCAAAGGCAAAAACATAGATAAACATCAAAATATGTTGTGTCAAATGCATTATAAGTTCAATGCAAATGCATTTAAAAGTACATGTATCTAATTCTTTCGAACTAGAAATAAAGAGTGATGTTCAGGCTTATATTATGTATTGTCAAACTAATGACAATGATTTTTTGGAGGTTATTGTAGTTTTCAATCTTCGAGCTGTTTCAATATTGTTAACTAATTACCATAGAATTTTAGTTTGATGATAAACTTGAAAAATGTCATTATTCAAAATAATTAACCCTAAATTTACAATTGCAGAGTTCACACCAAAGAATCATTAAGAGGCCAAATCATCACATAAACAAATGCAATATCTCAAAACTGAACATGTATAGATAGATAAGAATCAATACTTGTTGAGAAATTGTATGCACCTATCCATGGAAGACTGGCTGAGGTAAATAGGGGTTGGATCAATATCATTGGTTGGACTATATGGTTGCACAGCACGCATGTCATCCAGACCAAGAACTGCATCAGCATGTTCATGAGTCAAGACAATCTGCAGTTGATACAAAATTAGTCTAGTACCCACAGAAATATGGAAAGTCAAAATATAAAAGTAAATTATATTTAGAATACACATCATATATGCAGAACCATGTAAGAATTGACTGCTCTTTTTTTTTTTTTTTTTTTGTCAAGACAATCTGCAGTTGATCTCTCTACAAAATTTAGTCTAGTTACCCACAGAAAATGAAAGTCAAAATATACAAAAGTAAATTATATTTAGAAAATACACATACCATATATCTGAGCAGAACCATGTAAGAAATTGGCACTGCCCCCTCTTTTTTTTTTTTTTTGTTTTTATTGAGTATTGGGGGAGGGGGATTTGAACCCGGATCGTATATTGCAACTTGCCCACTTAGGCTATGCCTTGCGTGTGCGAATTTACTGCTCTTAAAATTGCAGGATGTCATAAAGGACATGTAAACAATTGGCTTATTTTTATCTATAGAAACAGAATCTATGACCATTGCTTATAATGGAAAAATAAGCACTCCTGTTATTTTTTTTTTTTTTTTTTTTGAGTATTGGGGGAGGGGGGATTTGAACCCGGATCGTATATGCACTTGCCACTAGGCTATGCCTTGGTGTGCGAATTTACTGCTCTTAAAATTGCAGGATGTCATAAGACATGTAAACATTTGAGGCTTATTTTATCTATAGAAAAGAATCTATGACCCATTGCTTATAATGAAAATAAAGCACTCCTGTTATGCAAATAACAAGATGCTGCCACTCAAGCATGTTAAGATTTCTCTAAAAGTCCAACCATCTACACCTCCAATAAACTTCATTCCAGAAGCCTTAAGTAGCTACTGAACAAGAGATTAACTTTAGAAAAAAGATAGAGAGAGAGAGAGAGAGAGAGAGATTGCCAGCTTGCTCTATCTGAAGCCATGAATTATCCAGGAAAGAGAAAAATTTTGGCTGCATTGTAATTCAGAAACAGAGTTATCGAAATGAATCCAATTTTGTATACAAAAGTTCAGTGATTGCTCTATGTAACAATATGAGGAAAATATTTCAATCAAAGTAATTTGGGTCAACGAATTAATCAATAACGAGGAGTCCAATGAGGTTAAAAAATGACTCACAGAATCCACTCGAGGAATCTCATGAAAAGTGAACCACCTAAGTACTTGTTCCCTGAAAGTCTTTCCCACATCAATCAATATGTAGCTGTGTTTCTCATCACTCTGGCAATAATCTATAAGAAGAGACGTATTGCACCTGCATTTTAAATAATTAAACACACATATCAATTTTCCAATTCCCAAAACTTTCGGAGCTACAAAACAAATATAAAACACTTAAAACTTTTTTTTTTTTAAATTCTAACCTCCACAAGCATTTTCCAACTTGAATTTCGTAATACGAAACTAACATTGTTTCTTTCATAAAGAAATCTAAATTTCGCATTACCAAATCGCAAAGTTGATATTTTCGCTCCACTCACTGACTTAAAACAAAATTAAAGATTAAACTGAGAATCTACCATAAGCAAAAGGCGTCCTAAATAATAATAAATTAAACATACTTTTCTTTCACTTTCCATCAAAGTAAGATTGCAGCCAACCTTCAAATTAGTATAAACAGACAAAAAAAAAAAAAAAGAGTTAAAATCGCAAATGTCGCAAAAAAGTAAGTACTAAATTAAGAAACATAACCAAACCTGTAGTTGCGGTTTTGCTCGGGCGGGACAGAGAGGGCTTGAGAGCAAACATGGCAGGGTGGATCTGATGGCTGGATCAGGCACAATAAGGAGGGAACGGAGTTTGAGCAGCCAGTCCCGAGAAAGATCAAAGCTGATTTAGCGCCATTATTATTAGCAATCGCAATCGATTGAGCACTGGAAGCAATGCTGTTGAGGGCGAGATGATCTTTAGACTCCATTTTTAGTCTCAAGAAACATAGAGACACAGAGAATTGATGAAGATGCGTAAAGAGAACATTGAGAGGGAATTTCTATGAGAATCTGCCCGCCAAAGTTTTTCTCACTTTGGCGGTTGGTTCGCTTTTAGTCACGTGGCAGCAATAGGACGGTTCTGTAAATATTTGAAATTAAAAATAAAAATAGAAAAACGAAGAGAGAGGTTTGATTATCAAATTTAATAGTTAAATTTTCCAAAAAACAAATTAATAGTTAAATTATTATATTATCATACCATAAATATAATTAATATATTGACCTGTAATCTTTCAATAAATTTCTATTTATTACGTGTTGATTAATTTTACAAATAATTTAATATAAATTATTTAATTTTTATGGATATAAAAGATATATTATAAAAAATAAATAAAACTTATAATTTAATTGTATTACAAATTTCTTTTAATTGATGTAAAATCAAAATATCATGAACAAAGTGGTATATTAAAGTACGTAGACTACTTAGATAATTACGCAAACTTTTTTTATTTTTTGAAGGTAGATAATTACGCAAATTTGGGAATAAAATAATATATATATGTGTTTGGGGAAAGGAAGAATGAAAAATGAAACCCTCGGGTGTTCTGGCTGCTTGGTAAAACAGAATCACACAACTGCTCTGAGCTACATGTGCAAATTCGGCGAAGGCTTCTTGCCTGTTAAGAGTCTCCAAGAAGCAGCACAAAATCGGTATCTGAAGAATGCACAGACGAACAATATCATATGCTTCAATTCTATCTTTTCCTGTTTAATTTCTCTTGCATTTTCACTCTGCTAACCGATACTATATTAAAATGTTGTTTGGTTTCAATTATTACCGCACAATTCGCAAAGCCATTGCTTATCCTCACAAGTTGGTTAGTGTCTTTCAGTTGAAGGCGTGTGTTTATGGTATCGAGTGTGTTTCTTTCCCAAAACAGCATTTTCATGCTCCCCCAATTACTTTCATTGTTTTAAATACATATTTCTCGTCATTATCTTCAAGTGATATTTACCCCAGTTCTTCCTCAAATGATAATTTCAATGCCCATTCTAGAGAAACGGAGAATTGTTATGATAGGAATGATGGGTTTAACAAGTTTAGGCAAATGGGTTTCAGTGACGATGAGTGTGAAATGGATAAAAACCCTAAAATTGATGGTTTTGATGAGATTGAAGAAGAAGACGAAGAAAAAGGAGGAGAAGTTAGTGATAATGATAACGATTTTTTGGTTTTGGATACTGTTAATAGAAGTCATTATCAGAAGGAAGATGTTTGGAGAATTGAGATAGGGGAAGAGGAATTTCGACACCCTTTGGTGAGAGAAATATGTAGGTTGATTGAGCTTAGGCAAGCTTGGAATCCTAAACTTGAAGGTGAAATGAGGCGCTTACTAAGAAACCTCAAGCCACGACAAGTTTGTGCTGTTTTGCTGTCCCAAGCTGATGAAAGGGTTGCTTTAAATTTTTTCTACTGGGCTGACAGGCAATGGCGGTATCGGCATGATCCAATTGTGTATTATGTGATGCTTGAGGTTCTCAGTAAAACTAAGTTGTGTCAAGGTGCTAGGAGGATTCTTCGACTTATGGCACGTAGAGGAATCTACTGTCGGCATGAAGCTTTTGCTTATGTAATGGTGTCATATAGTCGGGCCGGTAAGTTGAGGAATGCAATGCAAGTCTTGACTGTGATGCAGAAAGCAGGTGTTGAACCTAATCTGTTGATATGTAACACTGCCATTAATGTTTTGGTAATGGCAAATAAGTTAGAGAAGGCATTTAGATTTTTAGAAAGCATGAAACTTGTTGGAATCACGCCAAATGTTGTAACTTATAACTGTTTGATCAGGGGATGCTGTGATGTTCATCGAGTTGAAGATGCCATAGAGCTGATTTCGGAAATGCCTCTCAAAGGATGCTTCCCAGATAAAGTTAGTTATCATACTGTAATTGGTTTCCTTTCCAAGGACAAGAGGATCAAAGAAGTAAAAGACTTGATAGAGAAGATGATTAAGGATAGTAAATTGTTGCCTGATCAGGTCACTTATAATACTCTAATCCATATGCTTTCCAAGCATGGACATGCAGATGAGGCAGTTGAGTTTTTAACAGAAGCTGAAGAAAGGGGATTTCAGGTTGATAAGGTTGGGTATAGTGCTATAGTTGATTCATTTTGTAAGCAGGGAAGGATAGACCAGGCAAAAAAAATTGTGAATGAAATGTTTGCTAAAGGTTGCTCTCCTGATGTTGTTACCTACACTGCTGTTGTCAACGGACTTTGTAAGGTTGGGAAGGTGGAGGAAGCTAAAAAGATGCTTCAGCAAATGTACAAGCATGGCTGCAAGCCAAACACTGTATCCTATACAGCATTGTTAAATGGGCTTTGTCGAAATGGGAACTCATTGGAAGCAAGGAAGATGATGAATATGAGTGAAGAGGACTGGTGGACACCTAATGCAATTACATATAGTGTTGTGATGCATGGGCTGCGAAGGGAGGGGAAGCTGTCTGAGGCTTGTGATGTAGTGACAGAGATGCTTAGGAAGAGCTTTTTCCCAACTCCTGTTGAAATTAATTTATTAATTAAGTCTCTTTGTTGGCAGGGAAAAATGGAAGAGGCAAAAAAGTTCACAGAAGAGTGTCTGAACTGGGGGTGTGCCGTCAATGCAGTAAACTTTACTACTTTAATTCATGGATTTTGCCAGAAGGATGACATAGATGCTGCTCTATCGGTGATGGATGATATGTATCTAAACAACAAACATCCTGATGCAGTCACTTACACTACAATAATTGATGCACTCGGAAGGAAAGGTAGAATAGAAGAGGCTACTGAATTTACTATGAAGATGCTTAAGAAGGGATTAGATCCTACACCTGTGACATATAGAACAGTGATACATCGGTACTGTCAGATGGGTAGAGTGGAAGATTTGTTAAAACTATTAGACAAAATGCTTTCACGGAAAAAATGCAGAACTGCATATAATCAAGTTATTGAGAAACTATGTAGCTTCGGAAACCTTGAGGCTGCTGATAAACTCTTAGGAAAGGTTTTGAGAACGGCCTCGAGAATTGATGCTAACACATGCCATGTGCTAATGGAGGGTTATTTGAGCAAAGGGATTCCTCTACCAGCATATAGAGTAGCTTGTCGAATGTTTAATCGGAATCTGATTCCTGATTTGAAGTTGTGTGAAAAGGTGAGCAAGAAACTACTGTTAGAAGGAAAATCAGAGGAGGCGGATAAACTTAGCCTACGGTTTGTTGAGCGTGGAAATACTTCACCTTGCGGTCGACAGAGTTTACAAGACTAGTGAGCACCATTTTTTTCCTTATAATGCTTTCGAGGCTACTGGAAACCTTCAAAGGCTTTGAAAGGTAATACCTTCTCATTCTTGACTTAATTTTCTGTGTATTTCTTGAGTTCCTTTTTTCTCATATATCATTTCCAGATTTTAAATAATGGTGTTGGCTATAATGCTAGTAATATTCGAGATCATGGTCTCAGGGTATTGCAGGCCAAAATATAATGGTATCGGTTGGCACTACTGTGAATCTTTTGTTTTTCAGAAATAGCAAAATTACTCAGATTTCTACTTTAATAAGAATTTAACTGGATTACTTATTGATACTTCCAACACCTAAAATAACTTTTTTATTGGAAAATTTTTGTACTCTTGTATTTGTAGTTAATATACAAATTTATCAAACATGAAAATTTAGCAATAATGGCCAAGTAATTGTGGTACACATATCGCCGTTGTTTTATATTGAAATGGTTTAATAGCAAAATAGAAGCTAAAGGAAGGTTCATTGTGCTCACTGCTCAGGCTTTGAAAAGAAAACTGAGGAAGAAGAAAGAAGAACAAGAATGTCAAAGGGCAAATCTCTGTCGTGCACTTATCTCATCTTTGAACAAGAGTGACTCTCAAAGGGGTAAGAATAGAAATGATTTCTTTTAGCAAATGAACTTAATGCACCAATTATTTGATATAAACTCACAGATGTTTTGATTATTCTTCTTCTTATCATTATGATTTTGTTGGAATTCATTTTTCTTTTTGAGCACTCGCTAGTACTTTGATTATGGTTAGTAATAATTCTTGAAGTTGTTTTCTAGATTAACTATATATGTAAATGTGTTTGTATTTTAAGTTTTTGAACTGGCCGGGAAATGTTGTGCTTAAGTCATTTATTGCTTGCCACTTCCTTTTGCAGATTGACATATTGAAACATGGACATAACATGCAAAAATTTTAATGTTATATCTTCACATACACACACGCAAAAAGGAAAGATCAGATCAAGTTCTATGCTTGTTATGTCGCCAGTAGGTAAGAGATTGTAATGTGATATATGAAGCATTGCTACTTTCTCATATGAATAAATCTTTTGTTTAAACTGAATTTTGAGTTTTTTCCTTCGTTTATACTTTTTCCTGTGGATAAATAAAGCTAATGATAATTCTGTGGATAAATAAAGCTAATGATAATATTAACTCAGAAAATAAAAGGCGAAGTTTCCCATGTACGCAAGGAACTATACTGGTAAGGACAAGAAAAAGGGTGTACTAGGTGTATACCAATATTTCCAGTTATCAGTATTAATTATAACTTTTTTAAATCATATGATCGAAATGGAAAATCTTTGTCAACTAAAACTGACAAGTATGCGCTGTGCAGCCACTCCTTTTCTCCATGTGTATCTTCTAAACAGCCAAAGGAATTGCATCTGTAATTCCTTTAAGCATCCAACTAATAAGCTCCTTCTCTACATTATATACATGAACCTCTATAGTTTTAAAAATAGTTACAGAGGCAAATGGACGTTTTCCTTGGGCCTGCAGTAGCTCTTCTCTCCAAATTGAGGATAAAAGGAAACAAGCTCTTTTCTCCGCAATTTGGAAGGAACCTTTTCCTATCCTTATTTCTCTCTCCCTTTTTCCTTTCTCTTTCAAACAAGTGAAAGGAAGAATGTCCTTCCATTTCCTATCACTCCCCTTTCCTTTCCCCTTTATTTTCTACGTTCCCCAAAGATAAGTTTAGGGTCATTAAGTGGTTGCCATGTCCCACGACTGGCGACATTATGATGATTAAATGACTAGAAATGCTGTATTTGAATTTTGATTTTTCAGGTTGAATCTCATATTTGGATCAGAATGTTTTCTTTTTTTCTTTTTTTCTTTTTCTCTTTTTCAGTTCCAAGGAAACTGATTTCTGAAATAAAATCTTCAAAGATA